GCGGTGTTTTTTTTTTATACAAAGTCATCTTATTGCCCCCACAATCCGGATCTTCATTTTACCTACCTCGAAAGGATGAAAGGTTGAGTCAACCTTGAGCCTGGTGAGATTTGAACTTGCAGTAATTGCAGGCAGCTGGTGCTAGTTAACAGCACTTTTTAGTCTGCTGTGCCACCAAGGCTCTTCCTTTGTAAACTGCTTAGAGAGGGCTATAAGGCACTGTGAAGCGGTATGTAAGTCTAAGTGCTATTGCTGTTATGCTGCTTTAGAACTGTACGCTGGTCCAAGAAGTGGTAAGTGACAGAGTCAACATGGAGACATTCGGCCATCTTCCTTTGAGGTGGGGCCTGTGTGTCCAGGAAATGACTTTAAACCTCAACCTCTGGGGAAATCCTCCATTTGGGAAGATGGAGACATCTGGTGGAGAGCTGAGGCAGCCAGGCATATCTGCTGGCAGATGGATGCTCAGCAGCTCTTTAGCCTGGCCCCGTTTGGCATCAGTGATGGACCAAGGATGTTCCGGACTCCCTTTGCTTGTCCTGCAGCATCAGTCATGGAGCCTTCTCCAAGAGATTGGATCTGATCTTCTCCAGGAAAGAAGTGACTCCTTCAGAGAACCTTTTCGCCGTGCCTATAGTTTACTTTTGGTGAAATCAAGGCCATTCAATCTGAAGGGTGCAATTTTCCTTAAATTAATGTGGGGTGTGTAGTGTGTGTGGGAGAGAGAGGAGGGGAGGGAGGGAAAAGAAACCAAGATTGCAAATGGATTGTGTTCTAGAAGGACCAGAAGGGACATGATAGCGGTTTTCCAGGATTTAAGAGGCGGCCACAAAGAAGAGGGGATCAACCTAGTCTCCAAACCACCTGAAGGCAGAACCGGAAGCAATGCATGGAATTACAGAATAATAGAGTTGGAAGGGATCTTGGAGGTCTTCTGGTCCAATCCTCTCCTCAAGCAGGAAACCCTATATACCGTTTCAGACAAATGGTTGCCCAATCTCTTCTTAAAAACTTCCAGTGCTTCACAACTTCTGGTGGCAAGTTGTTCCACTGATTCATTGTTGGATGGAGACTAATTCAAGGAGACAAGCAACCTGGAACCAAGGAGAAATTTCCTGACAATCAGAAGACTTAAATCATTGGAACGACTTGCTTCCAGAAGTTGTGGATGCTCCAACACTGGAGATTTTTAAGAAAAGATTGGACAACCGTTTGTCTGAAATGGTATAGGTTTTGCTGCTTGAGCAGGGGAGTGGACTAGAAGACCTCTGAGGTCCCTTCCAATTCAGTTGTTCTGTTCTGTTCTTGCTCCTTGCTTTTGCGCCCTTCCTGGAAAGTTCTGCACATCTTAAACATCACAGTGCATCTCAGAGGTTGGAGAAGCAGTCGAGTGCATCATGAGGCAGACTGCATTCCTCACCCATGAGGCTCCTCCTTGTGCTTCCTTCCATCCTGCCCAAAAGAATGCCCCCACCCAGAGAGGCTCGGTTGCTGGGCATCTCATCAATGGGGGGATCTCCATCTTGCTTTCCAAAAACCCCACTTAAGAACAAAACAAACCCCCAAACCCAGTTTCCTCTCCTGCAGATCTGTGACAGCAGTGCTTTCATCATTAGATGTGTGTTCTCTACCTGGCCAATCACGGGTCTGATTCAGCCTTGTTCCTGCCTCTGGGAATTGGACCCTCCCCACCCCACCCCACCGCTGTATCTTTTTCAGGGCTGCTCATTGGGCAGAGTGTTGTGACCTAAGCTTACTGAGTCATTATAATACACAATTAGTCCCAAACAAATCTATTTTATTGTAATAGCTGAGAATTATGTTCATTCCCAGCTGAGTCCCAATTAGTTGCAAAACAAGTCCTTCAGAAGAAGTCCTTCAGGATAATCACCAACCTTCTTTGACACCCTGCCGAAGGCCTTCCTTGGCAAAGCCCCACAAAGTTCAGAAACAAACAAGAGATGCCGACTGGAAACAGAGTTAGCAATGTTGCTTTGCTGCAAAAGTGCCTTTGTTTCTCTTTTAAGCCCTATGGGAGGGACCAATCATTTCCTGACCTTACTCCCGAGTCGTCCCTTTTGTTTTAGCTGCTCTTGCCTTCTGGCAGCTCTGCACATGTGTGCACTAGGAACAGGCTCCTCCTGTTCCTCTGCCTCTGCTGTCTGACTCTCGGGGCTCCTGAGTCCACGCATCATTCCCAGATGGCCCAGGCCCCATCTCTACCTCCAGACTCCAGGACTGGCCCATGTTCCTCTCCAGTCTCCTCACTGTCCGACTCCACTGCCAGCTCTGCAGGCTGCTGGTGGACCACAACACAGAGGATGGATAGCTGAGAGAAGTAAGGACACCCATCTTCACCAGGATTATTGGCATTATGGCTACGGGGTAGGGACCACATCAGGTAGAAGGAGCAGCCCTTCCCTTGGGTGGCAGTTGTGTTCCAGAGTAAATGCTCAGGTGGAAGTGCAACATGGGTCAGAGGGATCTCAAAGCCAGGCAGTCTATCTGGAGGAGACCTGCATTTAGTGTTTACAGAGGTACTTAGAGTATGGAAAGGAGGCTTTGCAGAGAACAGGTGAGCACCAGAATGGACCTCTGGAACACCATGGAAAATTCAGAAGAGCAGAGAACAAAGCTGAGCAGAAATCAACCATTTAGATCATTGGGTTTCAGCATTACAAGAAGACGACAATGGGAATGGCGAGAAATCAAAGATTCTTTTTTTATAGAAATTGAGGACGATAGAGTAGGCCAGAGTTCCCAACTTTCCGGTTTTGCGGACTGGTGAGGGAGATGGTTCCACACTCATGGGAGGAAGCATGTGCATTAGCTTACCTGCTGCTTGCGCAGGTCAGGATATGCGCATGGGTGCACTCGCCCATCATTTCTGTGGCCCGGTTTTGAATGGCTCAAGGCCCGGTAGTAGACCATAGTCTGGGCATTGGGGTCCCCTGGGGTAAACTATCCCAGCCATACTCCACAGGGTGCCACTAGTGGGTTCTCTCTTTGGGTTGATCTCGGTGCCAAGCCAGACATAATAGGTCACGTACAGGTTGAGGGCCACATTCCTACGGAAATTCTCATGCTTTTGGACCTCTCCATCCTTCCTCCAGGTGACCTGGATCTCCTTGGGGAAGCAGCCACAAACCTGGCAGAGGAAGGTCTCACTCAAATCTTGCACATCCCTTTCCCACTAAGGCAGGTGTGTCAAACACAAGGCGCATGGACTGGATGTGGCCCACAGGGCCATCCTGGAAAATGTAAGGGGCCGGTCTGTGTCGCTTCGGCCTGGCCTACTCACATCACTTCAGCCCAGTTTACCCAATGCAAAGAGGAAGCATCAGGCCAGCATGGCTTCGGCCCGGTCTACCCAATAGGAAGAGGAAACATGCCAGCAGTTTGGGGAGTAGTGTCAAGCTGGCCACGCCCACCCAGTTGGCCACACCCGGCCAGCCCCCACCCCCTCAAGATCAACCACAGCCCTGATGCGGCCCTCAATGAAATTGAGTTCGACACCCTAAGGGTTCTATAAACATGGCAATAGTACAACTCAATAATTCTAAGGACAAGGCAGAAATAAATTACTTCTGGCTACAAAATGACATTTCTCTATAAATGTATTTATTCTGTTTAAATAGATCGAATCCCCATTATAAATAACTTGGGGTGGCTTACAGAGTTTTTTATTTATTTATTTAACATACGGCGATGTAACACTAGCCAGGAGACAACAATACTAATGCAGAGTAGTACTTGGCTGCCTGTTTGCTAGCTCTGTTTGGTTGAAGTTCACACACTTCCCAATGTGTGCCACAAGAGGGCGAGGTAGCTTTGTACCAGAAAGAAAGACTTTCCTGCAGCAGCATCTGAGGCCCTCTCCTTCTACCGAAGCCACCTCACAAATGGGAACTGCAACCAAGAAGGTTCCATGCCAGCAGAATTCTGATCATTTGCACGAAAAGTCGGCTCATTTCCCAACCGAAGTGGTACCTATTTATCTACTTGCATGGAACTGCTAGGTGGACATCTGAGGCAAGTGACAGGAGCTCATCCCGTTACACAGCGCTAGGACTCAAACTACTGGAACAAAGACCATTTCCAGCCTCATTAAGTTACTGAACCACCATACCTCTTGCTTAGAATTAAAACTGAACTAAAAATAAAATAAACCCAGCATGTAGCTCCCATCTTTTAAATTTTTAAATCTTTTAATTCGTGATTTTATAAATTGGGTGTTTTAATCTGTGTTTCGGCCGAAATATTTAATAATTTTAAGGGATTTTTTAATATTTGTATTATCTGTATTTTATCTTGGCTGTTCACCGCCCTGAGTCCTTCGGGAGTAGGGCGGTATAGAAATTTGATTAATAATAATAATAATAATAATAATAATAATAATAATAATAATAATAATAATAATAATAATAATAATAATAATAATAATAATAATAATGTAACAAGATAATTAAAACACTAAGAACTATTAAAACCATAAATAAAATCTTCACAAAGTTACAATCTCATTACCAGTACAGCCATTTGTTAGGCTCCATCCTCAGGCCAGATGGCAAAGCCATGTCCTCAGGTCCTTCCAGAAGACTGGTAAGGTTAGGATCAGTCTGACCTCAAGTGAGAAAGATGTTCCAGAAGAGGGGTTCTTCAGCAGGAAAAACTCTCATCCTGGGTCCTGTCAGATGACATTTCTTACTGGATGGGACCCACTAACCCACTGAACCTGATGGGATGGATAGTGGTAATCGGGGAGACGTAGTCCCTCAACTAACCCAGCCCTGCAATGGAAGGCTTTATAGGTCATTATCAGTACCTTGAATTCAACCTGGAAACAAAACTTACACAGCTCAAGGAGCAGAGGTGTAACATGTATTGATCTAGATCAGTGTTTCTCAACCTTGGAAGCTTGAAGATGGGTGGACTTCAACTCCCAGAATCCCCCAGCCAGCGCTGCTGGCTGGGGGATTCTGGGAGTTGAAGTCCACCCATCTTCAAGCTTCCAAGGTTGAGAAACACTGATCTAGTTGCATACACAATTGCTTGTGTCCCTACATTTTACATCAGGTGATGTTTCTGGATACCCTTCAAAGGCACCTTCATGTAGAGCACATTACAATGATCCATCTGAGATGTGTCGAGAGAGTGACCTAGAGTTATAACTCTAACAGTAACAACAGCAGAAAGGACGTCATGAGAATATCTCTGGCCACTCACTTCCTCTCTTCTCCTTAAGGATCCTCAAAAATGGGGCAATGGCACCCCACAGATAACAAGAGGCCTCGGAGATAACAAGATAACAAGAGGCCTCGGAGGTATTTTACGTCACTCTTGATTGGTTTATCAGAAACAGACATGTGGATTGGTTCTGCCCTAAAGGCAAGCCCTGAAAATTCCATGATTCTTTCACTTTGAATGGCACTTCATATAGGAAGAGTACTTATCATTATAGGGAAGCTTTTGAACGTTGATGTCGGAGAAGTCATCTGAGAATACTATGGATAATCAAGCAAACAAATACATCCACAGCAACCAATTACACCATATATTGCCTCATGCATGAGTCAGCACTCTCTAACTAATCCAGTAAAATCGTCTATTGTCTATGCAGATTCTCAATTATCCAGGTCACAGTTCTCCCAAAGGTACTTTTTAAAGACGCAACTGGACTTTCTTGATTTTTCTTCGAAAACGTTTTGCTTCTCATCCAAGGAGCTTCTTCAGCTCTGAAGAAGTTCTGTCCTATTGGACACTTTACTGTTCCAGCTACTAAATTCAACATCCTAACAGAATCCTTCGTTCAACGACAGCAATCCCGGCTCTCCTGGTTGAGGTCGTTAAATGATTTTGTCAGTCATTAAGTGGACTCCTACATAAAGAGTGGGACGGGGGATGGAGGAGACCTTGGAAGACCCGGCACCACAGTGTTCAAGTGTCTCTCCACTCTTAGCATCGAAATTCCTGTTCTGAGACAACCTAGGTGCCGCCACCTTCCTCGGTTCCTTCTATTGCACCTGGTGTGGTACATTTCCCACTCCCGTCTCTCTCCTTTTGCCCTCTCTCTTCCACCCACTCTCAAGAGCAGCACCAGCAGCAAAACCTGACAACGTAAATATTTCAAGAGGAGAGAAAGGGGTGGGGAAGAGGGAGGCTTCCTGGATCTCTTTCCTGTCCAAGACTCAGCTACAAATATGAAAAAGCAGCAGGGAGGAGGCACTTTGAAGTTGCTAATCCTCTTCCTTCATCAGAGGTAGTCGTGCTCGGTGTATCTTTCAGAATGCAGCCAGGCCCAGTGATTATTCTCTTTTGGGCCATGATAGCTGGTTCAATCTTGACACTTATTTGTCCAGGGTCTCTGTTCTGTCCCCGTCTCACACACGCACACAAACAGACAGCCGGGGGTTAAATAAACTGGCAGACAACCAATTCTTCCAATAAGAAGCTTGGCAGCAACCCAGTAGCTGCTTGCCAAGAACTGATGAGGATGAAGGCTATTGCTTAGCACATTGTAAGACGCCCTGAGTCTCCGGAGAAGGGCGGCATATAAATCAAATTAAAAAAAAAACAAAAAACCTTTACTCACAAACAAAATACACACAGTCAAGAATTGTCCAGTTCGTAAAATAAATCCAAGGCCGATAATGTTGTTTCCAAAGATGCAATGTGACTCGATAGTAGTTAGTTTTGTCTGTCACCGAGTCTGAATGGCCACCTCACCCCTTTTTATACCCTGTGGGGTGTGGTCCAGTGACTCAGCTTAATCTCTGGCATGCCTTTTCTTCTGTTGCACCTGCTTATCTCTGCGACGCTGCCAAGGATCCAGCCAAGACTCATTTCCCTTATCACTGTCCACCTGTGGCTGCGTGGACGTGCTTGGCCCCGGCCCTATTTCTTGCCCTTCGGTGGACACCGAAGGCATTGCCAGAGAGGAGTGTCCTGGAGAGGGAGGCCTTCCAACTCCTCTTCTTCACTCTCGGAGTCCTCTCCTGACGATGACACAGGCTCAGGTAACGGAGCCACAACAGTCTCCAAGTCCCCAGACCATGACAGAGGCCTTTTGAGCCTCTGTTCCTTCCCTTCTCGCTTGCGCAATGTTAACACAGGGTCTTCACGATCCAACTGGTACCTCAACCGTACATAGGGTATCCTGACCTGCAAAGAGAGAAAATGAAAACATCATCAAAACCACAGTTTGTACCAGCAATGTGGGGTTTTTTTTCTCCTCCATCTATCTTTACCTATCATTCTATCATTCTATCACCTATCATATATCTATTTATCATCTATCATCTATTTATCTATCTTCTATCATCTATGTATCACATTCTATCACTTATCAGCTATCAGCTCTATCTATCTATCTATCTATCATCTCAAACCTTTATTGTCAGTGCACAACATATGTACAATGAGATTGATTGGGCTCCCTCAGTGCACAATCCCCCCCCCAACACAATACAACTCACAGTGAAGACAGAAAATCCCTAACCCAATAAATCATATTACCAACCACCCAATCCTATTGCACCAGTGTGAACATGTTACAGGTTGCGCCGGCCCTGCAAGTCCATCAAACTATGTAGTTATGATGTTATTTCTCATTCAGGAGTGACAGCCCACGGATAAAAACTGTACTTCAGCCTGTTTGTGCGGCTGGCTATGCTTCTCTATCTCCTTCCCAATTGTAGGAAGGTAAAGAAGTGGTGACCAGGGTGAGAATCATCCCTGAGGATTTTCCTCACTCTTCTAAGGCAGCGAGCCCTAGCGATCTCATCTAACGGTATCAGGGGACAGCCCTCGATGTTTTGTGCTGTGCTCACCACCCTCTGTAATGTTTTTCTATCTGCGGCTGTCAAACCGGCATGCCATACCGTGATACAATAAGTGAGGACGCTTTCTATTGTGGACCGGTAAAAGGAGATCATCAGTTGTTGTTTCACCCTGTTTTTATCGCAAGGCCCTAAGGAAAGGGAGTCTCTGTTGGGCCTTCCTGGCCACCTGGATCGTGTTGTTTTTCCCGGTGAGGTCTTCCCTGAGATGGACTCCCAGGAATTTAAAGGAGGGAACTCTCTCCACACAGCCCCCCTCGATGTAAAGTGGGGCAGGTTCCTCTCTCTTCCTCTGGATGTCCAAGACCATCTCCTTGGTCTGGCTGATGTTCAGGTGCAGGTTGTTTTTTTATCATTTATCATCTATCTATCATTAACTATCATCTATCTACCTATCACATTTTATCACCTATCATTTATCTATCATCTATCTATGTATCTGTCACATTCTATCACCAAACAGCTATCCATCCATCCAACAATATCTATCTATCTATCTATCTATCTATCTATCTATCTATCTATCTATCTATCTATCTATCTATCTATCTATCTATCATCTTTCTATCTATATGGCACCCATCTTGCAAAGTTTATCTCTGCAGCTCATGATCTCCAGGCTCTGTTAATAACTGTTTCTAAAGAAAAGTCACCAGGATCATTTCCATAGATGCCCCCTCCCACTCTTTGTTTTTCCATCCTCCCATTCCTTCTCTCCCTCCTTCCAGTCCTTCTCGGACAGAAATCCCCAATTTCTGCAGGGTGACCTGTTAGATCGGTGCAGGGAAAAGAAGACGTGACCAACTCTGGTCCATTCAGCACTTTATTCAGCACAAGAATAAGACAAGCGACTGTGCTGCCAGGGCTCTTTAAATACGCTCCGGCAGGCTCAGCCGCCCAATGACAGTTCTTTAAATCTCCCGCTGGAGGATTAGCCAATCCCCAGCAGATGTCCTTATAAGGACATAACACTCCTCCCTTAGACTCAGACTCCCTTAGTCTGAAAGCTGTCCATCAAGGTCAATATGCGTAACGAAGTCGCACAGGTAGGCGGGACGCCTGACGGTCCTAGAAGACCTGCGCAGTTCACTCCGAGCTTCGCCGCTGACCTGGGTGGGTGAAGCTCCTGTCCTCTCTGACTCCCCGGCTGGGGCAGCCTGGATTCCGGCCGTCGAGTGTGCGGGACCCGTCCCAGCACCTCCGGCCGCATCGTCTGGATCTTTCTGCTGGTGTCGCCGGTCCTTCCCTCGCCCGGAATCTCTGGAACCTCGCGGCTGGACATCGCTGCTGTCTGGTGGGTGCCGTCCGGAATCCGGTAAGTCCGCTGGTGTTATTTTGGGCTTCTGCGGCTCCCGATGCTGTTGATGTTGGGCGCGGACGACCTCGCCGGCGTGGTGTTCGCCTCCTCTGTCGGGTTCGTGTAGGTCGACCTTGCGGGGTCGGTGCTGGTCGACCTGGTCGGGTCGGTGGTCGAGGTCTCCCTCCCCAGTCAGTCGCTGGCTGGCTCTCCTGGGGTGTTGCATGCCTCCCCCGCCTGGTTGTCCCCGGTCTACTTGTCTGGGACGGAGGTCTCCCTGGCTGGGGTGTTGTTGGTCGCCCTTGCTGGAGGGGTGTGGCTCTTCCCCCCTGCGTAGCCCCTGGTCTACCTCAATGCTGCGGTGGAGGTCTCTCTCGCTGGAATGGCGGGTGCCCTCCTCGCTGGGTTGGTGTCGACGTCCCTCAGGCCGTGGGTACCGGTCTACTGCTCTGGATCTCCGATGGTTCAGCTCACGGTAGTGGCATTGGTCGGCCTCGTTGGGGTGTGGTAGGCCTACCTTGTTGGGGTGTGGTAGGCCTACCTCGTTGGGGTGTGGTAGGCCTACCTCGTCGGGGTGTTGCAGGCCTACCTCATCGGGGTGTTGCAGGCCTACCTCGTCGGGGTGTTGCAGGCCTACCTCGTCAGGCTGGTTTCTTCCCGTTCCCCTCCACCTTTTCCGGAGCTGGTCGATGTGACGTCTACAGACCTGTCCATCTTCCAGCTCTACTCTGTAGGACTTCGGGCCGGTTGAGCTCTCGATCTTGCCTTTCAGCCACTTCAGAAACCCGTGAAAGTTAAGCGCGAAGACCGGGTCTCCTGTGGTGTAGGTGCTGGGCGGGTGGCTGGCATCTGATGGCACCTCTGGGTTGTACTGGGGGTGTAGTTGATCCAGATGTGACCTCAGTCTTCTCCCCATCAGCAGCTCGGCCGGGCTTTTCCGCGTCGTTGCGTGCAGCGTGATGTGGTCAATTCTTTCTTGCCAGTCGCCAGTGCCCATTTTGGTGAGGGCTTCCTTCATGAGCCTCACCATCCTCTCAGCCTGCCCGTTTCCAGCCGGCCTGTAGGGGGCAATCAGGGCATGGCAGATGCCCAGTCCTACCAGGAACGTCTCCATGGGCTTGGAGATGAGCTGTGGCCCATTGTCGGACACAAGTACATCCGGTAGCCCGTGCGTCGCGAAAAGCCTCCGGAGTGCCCTTGTGGTGGCCTCTGTTGTTGTAGATGCCATGGGCATGACCTCCAGCCATTTCGAGAAGGCATCCACCACGATGAGGAGATATTTTCCACTCATTGGTCCCGCGAAATCGATGTGGATTCTTGACCACGGGCTGCTGGGCATCTCCCATTCGGATGAGTGAACGCGGGGTGGCGCTGGCTGGGATTCCTGGCACGGGTCACATCTGGCCACCCAGGTTTCAATGTCTTTGTCTAATATGGGCCACCACACATAGCTTCGTGCCAACCCCTTCATGCGCATGATGCCAGGGTGCCCCTTGTGCAGTGTCTCTAGGGTATTCTGCTGGAGTGCCCGGGGAATCATGACCCTGTTGCCCCAGAGGATGCAGCCCTTCATTGTGGTTAGTTCTTGTTGCTTCCTGATGAATGGGGTAAATTCTTCTGCCACCCTCTTCGTTGGCCACCCCTGCAGGACCCAGGAGAGTACCTGTTTGAGAGTTTTGTCCTTCTGGGTCTGCGCTGCCACATCTGCAGAGGTGACTGGGCAAATGGGGTCATTATCAATGTGAAATAGTCCGAGTGTGGGGGCGGGGTCCTCCACTGGCTCCTGCGATGGGCATCGGCTCAGGGTGTCGGCGTTCCCAATGGTCTTGCCGGGTCTGTGGATTAGTTTGTATGAGTACCCGGCAAGGAAAATGGCCCAGCATGTCATCCTGGGCGACATGTAGCCGGGTGTGGGTTTGTCACCTGCTAACAGTCCCAAAAGTGGCTTGTGGTCCGTGATGACCGTGAAGCTTCTTCCATACAGGTACTCGTGGAAGCGCTTGATGCCAGTCACAATGGCCAAGGCTTCCTTGTCCAGCTGGCTATAGTTCCTCTCGGTGCTGGACATCGTCTTGGAGAAATAAGCGATGGGTGCCTCAGAGCTGTTGGGAAGTTGGTGGCTGAGGACTGCTCCAATCCCATATGGTGATGTTTCGCAGGTCAGCAGTAGTGGAAGCGTCTCGTGATATTGTATGAGCACGCTGTCTGAGGAGAGGAGCCCTTTGATGGTCTTGAAGGCTGCTTCCTCTTCTGTCCCCCATCTCCACGGTACCGCTTTCCCCAGCAGGCGATGGAGCGGTTCAGCAGCTGTTGCCTTTTGTTTTAAGAAGACACTGTAAAAATTCAGTAGTCCCAAAAAGGCTTGAAGCTTCGCTTTGTTTTTGGGGACTGGAGCTTCGTGGATTGCCCTAACCTTTGCTTTGGTGGGGTGGATGCCAGTGCCATCTATGAGATAGCCCAGGAACTTGACCTCCTGGACCCCGATGATGCACTTGTCTCTCCTGACTCTTAAACCCTTCTCCTTAAAGCGCTGTAAAACTTGTTTTAGTCGCTCAAGTAGTTGGGTTTTAGAGTGCCCGGAGATTAAGACATCATCGAAGTACGGCACCACCCCTGGAATGCCTTGGAGAAGGCGTTCCATCATTGATTGGAAAATTCCTGGGGCTGCGCTGACTCCAAATTGGAGACAGTTACACTTAAATGCGCTTCTGTGGGTGACAATGGTTTGAGCCTCCGCAGTTTTTTCGTCCACTGGCAGTTGCTGGTAAGCCTGGGCCAGGTCCAGTTTGGCAAATATTGTCCCACTCCCAAGTGAATGCAGCAGATGTTGCACCACTGGAACTGGGTATGTGCTCTGTGACAGGGCCTTGTTGATGGAACACTTGTAGTCAGCACAGATGCGCACAGATCCATCATGCTTCATGGGGGTCACAATGGGCGTCTCCCATGCCGCATGATCGATTGGTTCCAAAACGCCTTGGGCTATCAGCTTATCTAGCTGAGCATCTACTTTGGGCCTCAAGGCAAATGGAACTCTGCGGGGCTTAAGCCTAATGGGTGTAATTGCCTTATCAAGATTAAAGGAAATGGGCTTTCCCACAAATTTCCCCAGCTTACCATCGAAGACTTCCTTGAACTCTTTGAGGAGGGTGTCGAGCTCATCCTGCCGAATCTGGTTAACCCCTTTGATTCCGAGCCCTAATGTCTTGAATCACTCCATGCCTAGCAGGGTCGGGCAGCTGTGCTCGACAATGGTGATGGAGAGGTCGCCTTTGAAATCGCGGAAAGAGGTTTGTAGTGAGGTTCTTCCCAGGACTCCAATGGGGTTTCCTCCAAAATCGACTAGCCTGGAGTGTAGGGGTTTCAGGTCCTTCTTCCGGATGTCTGGTTTGATGCACTTGAGATGTTGCCAGTCCATAATGGAGTAGATTGAGCCTGAATCTACCTCCATGGAACATGGGGTTCCTTCCAAGTGTACGGTCACATGGCATTTGGTGGCAGTGTCGTCGTCATCGGAGAAGTCTATGGTCGTCTGGTGCACCATTCTCCTCCGGTTCCCGTCGCTCTCACCACGTCTGGACTGGTAGGAGGACCGTTTGGATGCCCTCGCATTGTCCTTCTGATTTTCACGCGACCAGTGGCTGGACGGCTCTGGAGCTGGTTCTTCGGCTCTGCAAGCTTCAGCGATGTGACCCCGCTTGTTGCAACGTCTGCAGGTCGCATCTCTCCACTTGCAGCTGGCCCTGGCATGGTCTCCTCTGCAGCTGGCACAGCGCTCCCCCCGGTCGCTTTTCCAAGCGGTTTCCCGCTTCGGGGGTCTGGAGACTTTATGGACAGCCTCTTCCTCCTCTGAGTCCAATCCGGTAGTCAATTCTTCTGTAGATGACTGTGGGGACTTGCGGATCTTGTGGATCCCTTTCGCCCGAAGCATCGCGGCTGCAGTTCTCTCGGATGTTTCGGAAGCCATGGCTTCCTCTACCACGTCTGCGAGTACGAGCTTCTTTTTGCTCAGGAATTTTTTCTGTAGGGCTCTGTCCCTCATGCCAAACACAATGCGGTCTGCTATTGCATTGTCCATGTGGTCAAACTCGCAGCTGGCAGTGATTTTTCGTCGGGCCCTAAAAACCCATTTATTTCAACTAGCTGGGCTGGCTTGAGTCAAGTTTTAAACGGATTTTAAATTGGAATGTTTTAATTATGGCCAAAATTATTTAATTATTTTAAACAGATTTTAGATTTTGTATGTTTTGTATGTATGTCTTGTTTTTACTTTGGCTGTTCACCGCCCTGAGTCCTACATTGGAGAAGGGCGGTATAGAAATTTAAACAAATAAATAAAAATAAATAAATAAATAAAATTTGGCGCAGGGCAGCCACGAATTCTTTGATCGTTTCACCCTCTCTCTGGTTTCTCTGGTGAAAGGTGAAATGGTTTGCAACCGGCGTTCCCGTCGGTGCGTAGTCGGTGCGTCCTGCAGGATCTGTTGCAGGTCGGCCCATGGCGATTCCTCAATGTCCCTTGGCACTACCAGGTTGACCGCCATCTCCAGGACTTCGGTGCCACAGTGGGCCAGGAACAGTGCTCTCCTTTGGTCATAATTGATGTCTCGGATGTTGTTGCCTCTCAGGAACTGTCGAAATCTAATCATGTAGGACTTCCATTTTTCCTTCCCTGGGCGGAAAGGTGCGAGGGTCAGCAGTGCGGTTTCTGGTGATGCCATGTCGCTGGAAGGATCCTACGTGTGACTTCAGCTCCTAGTGACTAGCTCTTCATTGTTGGCTTCGTGCCACGAGGTTCGTCGCTTGGTTCTTTGATTCCTTCGTCGCCAGTGTTAGATCAGGGCAGGGAAAAGAAGACGCGACCAGCTCTGGTCCATTCAGCACTTTATTCAGCACAAGAATAAGACAAGCGACTGTGCTGCCGGGGCTCTTTAAATACACTCCGGCAGGCTCAGCCGCCCAATGACAGTTCTTTAAATCTCCCGCCGGAGGATTAGCCAATCCCCAGCGGATGTCCTTATAAGGACATAACATGACCCCAGCTCCTGTTCCTGGCTCCTTCCCCATCTCCTTCTCCTCCCTTGGAGCTGATGGGTGCAAGAGGCTGAGCTGGGCTGGATCTTCCCTGCAGAGCAAGTAATCACAGGCAGGAGGGCTGAGCCCCAGGGGAGCCCCAAGCAACCCACAATCCCTTCTTGGTTGCCTTAGAAAGACCTCGAGGATGAATGTTCCCCCACCCAACACTTCAATGGTCTTGGCTCTTGGGTATTTCCCAAGCCCAGAGTTTTGATTCTTACATAGACTTCAGCAACAATCAGACTCACCTTCATTTCTATGCTCATTGCCGATCTTGCTTGAATCACAATTTCTTCTGTGTCAGAAATACCAGACAAAGCCATTGGTTTTAAAGGAAAGTCAGGAGGTGAAATCCTCACTTCCCGAGAGAGAATTGTCCTACGTCTCCAGCACCAGCCTGATGGCAAAAAGAGAGGACAGCTGGTTAATTTTGGGAGCAGCAGCTCTTGCCTCGAATAGAGAAGGACTCATGCTAAGACCTTCAGAAGGCCCAGATGGTACAACTGCCTGGATTATAACCAGGCATCCTGAGAAAGATGCATCAGTACTTCTATCGGTTTATTATGGACCAAGGAAAAATGGTTGGCTGTCAAGAGGTACCGACCATGAGAAAATGGAAAATAACATTCCTGGATTTTATTCAGAAGTAATCAGATTGAAATTCTCCTTGCTACTATTACAGCTCTGATGGGACCACACAGTTCTGTTTTTCCACCACAGCTGAAGCCATTCATACTCAGTCAATGCAGAAAGGGCCAGGGGTGGAGGTCAGTGGCTGTGTTTGTTTCACTTACATATCAGGGAGAGAATCGCAGCTCCCAAGGTTAAGCCTGCTACAATTCCCACAGGAATCTGCCATCCTGTAGCTAAAGAAAGGGAAACATGGTTTCGATTAGATAGATCCTCAGTTCCCTTCACTGGAGGTGCTGAGCAATTGAAGCATATCAGAGTTTGTTGCAGAAATTAAATCCAGAAAGCAGACACAGGCAAACTGATGCAGCAGGATTTATTAAATTCTTTATATACAAAATAATAAATGAAGTAAATTTTACAATACCAATATAGGTTCTTGTTCAACGTATTAGCAGTTACAAGCAAAACACACAGCAGGAGAGAACAGTTAGTTTCATTTCAGCAGAGCAGACTAGTTTCAGTTTCTCTGCACAGACTCAGAAGCTGCAGACTAAGACATACCTTGGCTCCAGTCTGTCTCAGCTCCCATTGGTTGACTTAGTTGCTATGCCTATTCCTTGGCTGACCTTGTTACCATGTCTCTGCCAGTTCATGAATAATCTGACAAAGCATTTCTCAAGCTGCGCTAGACTACAGGAAGTGCCCCCACCTGAAGGAAGCCCCCCTCTTTCAAGATCATTCCTTCTGAACCCTGCAGCCTTGGAGGGGAGGGGCTTCCTTCAGGTGGGGGCACTTCCTGGGGGTTGCAGAAGGCAGAAGAAAAGACCTTGAAGGACAGAAGGACAGTATCTATTTCTACAGGTCCCAAAGATGGCTAAGAAAGCCAAGTTGTCTTTTAAAAACCACTTTTGGGACAACCATGAGCTGGATGGTTGAGAATCTCCATAGATACGTCTACATGTCATAATCGCTCAGCCCCTCACCTGTTTCCTCCTTCCAGGCCAAGACCAGGGGCTCCTGCAAGCCATCATGCTCCAGGTGGCACATAAAACGGTCCCTCTCCTTGGGGTCGATCTCAATGCTGATCCAGACATAATAGGTCCCATCCGAGTTGGGGGCCACGTTCCTACGGAAGGTCTCTTGTTCCCAGTTCTCTCCGTCCCTCGTCCAGGTGGCCTGGATCTCCTTGGGGTAGAAGCCAAAGGCCTGGCAGATGAGGACCTCCAGGCTGTCATCCACCACTCTGCGAGTCACCTTCCCCACTGGGGGTTCTGTAAACAACAACAACAACAACAACAAGAGAGTTCCCGGGATTTTCTGACCAAGTAATTTCATAACAGTGAAGACTTTATCTGGTCATCCTCTCCCACTACTCCTTCTCTTCTCCTGAGCCTGTGGGACCTTCAAAGATGGGGCATCAAAGATCTTTACATTTATTTTTGAAAGGGATACACAGAATTTGGGGTAAAGTTCTCAGGCCGACCCAAATAATCGTAATGCTTGGGGTGTCAGCACTTCAACCTGCATTTACTCTAGTGTAGGAAGGAGAAGCGAAGGTGTATATACTCTAGTATAAGAGTATATACACTAGTATAAGGTGTTATACTCTAGTATAAGAAGGAGAAGCGAAGGTGTCTGGAAAGGGATGTTTGACTTTTCACCTACTTATTTTCCCTGAAGAAATATCCCCTAGGAGATGGGATGGGAGGGGGAAATTCCTTTGAGCTGGAGTAGATTAGGGGTAGAATGACTTGGAAGATGACCAATGAGTGCAGGGGAGTGGGGAACGGAAAGGGAGGGTTTTGGGGCTGGAAGTCAGTGTTGGCTTCGATTGTAGTCGGGTTTAGAATGCCGTGCTTAATAAATAGGAGTTTTTCTTCAAAGACTTTGTTTGAAATGCAATTTATTTGAGACGACCTCGAAACTTGACAGGGGGTTTGATTCAGTTTTGACATTACAAACTGAATGTATTCAAGTTATTCAGGAACAGCCTCATCTTTTGGTTCAGGAATGGGACAACTTGCCACAGCCAACTGACCAGCGGTGAAATCCGCCCGGTTCTATCCAGCTCGCCAAACTGTTGGGCTCAATTGTGGTCGTACGTTGAGGAGAACCTGTATTTATGACAGTTCCACTGTCCTGGGGGTCACTGAATGCCTTCCCAGCCGGCTTCCGACAAGCAAAGTCAATGGGGGAAGCCAGATTCGCTTAATGATGGCATGGTCCACTTAACGACAGCAGTGATTTGCTTCACGATTGTGGCCGAAAGATCAAAAAACGGGGCAAAGGCACCTTTAAGACAAGTGGCCAGGGACGGGACATCAGGCATGGGCTGCTGCGAAAGACCAGGAGCAAAGACACACACAGGCTCGGAATGGCAGTGTCCAGATCCGTTCCAGGGCAGCAGAAATCAGCCGTCATGCCGTGTGACCCCCAAGGTGACTCCCCGGCCCGGGCAAGGCCAGAAGGGGTGAATTCCCCAACTCCGGTTCAGCCGACAAGGAATGGGATGTCGGGCCCGGGCTGCTGCGAAAGACCAGGAGCAAACACACACACACACAACCCACGCGCACAGCGGTACTGGTGAGGTTTTTAAGCGAGCAGCGCAGGAAGCCAGACTTGCCTTCACAGGTACGAAAGCTTCCTCTAAATGGAAAAATGCCAGGAGCAAGCAAGCGCTTCTTTTTTGCCCTTCCTGCTTGCTCCTGGCCTTTTTCCACTTGGAAGACGGAGAGGAGGAGGAGGAGGAAGAAGATGAGGGCGACGATCCTGGGCGTGTAAAGCAAGGCGTGAAAATCCACAGCAGGAAGCTCGGGGTGAGTAAAAAGGGGGAGCAGCCGAGCACTTTGTTTCTCCAGAACCGGTAGTATAAAAATGCTTAAAAAGTAAAAAAACAAAAAGTTCCCACGATCGCATGTCATTCAGCTGATTGTCGGAACTTTTTTTTTAAAAAAAAAATACTACTGGTTTGGTGAACCAGTAACATTTTTTACTAGTGGTTCGGGCAAACCGGCCTGAACCGGTAGCATTTCACCCCAGGACGGAAGCATTTGGCTACTCACCTATCTTCCTCAGAGCTTCCTTCCTATAGGACAGGTATCTTTGCAGCCACAAAATGCAGGTCTCTTCCAGGTAGATTTTATTTTCGTGGGACCACTCTGGATCCTCATCCCACTTCTCCTTGAACTTCCTGGCCTGGGGCTGAGCTGCCACCCATCTGAGGGTCTCCTCCTTGAAGCTGATGAAGTCCATCCCATCGTAGCCATAGCGGAACAATCCATCTTTGTTCCCATCTTCCCTGAACTCACAGCCCAAAATCACCTGCCAGGTATGAAGCCCTGAAAGAGACCCAGAGAGGAGTGGGTGAGAGGGTACAAATAGTCCTCGACTTACAACAGTTCACTTAGTGACCATTCAAAGTTACAAACGGCACTGAAAAAAGTGACCTAGGACCATTTTTCACACTTACGACCGTTGCCGCATCCTCCCGGTCACATGATTTACATTCGGATGCTTGACAACTGACTCCCATTTATGACGATCGCAGTGTCCCAGGGTCATGTGATCCCCTTTTGCGACCTTCTGACAAGCAACGTCCATGGGGAGGCCGGCTTGACTTAACAGGCAGGTTACTCATTTAAGAACGGCAGTGATTCTCGTAATGGATGTGGCGAGAAAAGTCGTACAATGGGGCAAAGCACACTTAACACATGTCTCACTTAGCAACATCAATTTGAAGCTCAGTTGTGGTCATAAGTTGAGGAATTACCTGTACAGTGGAAAGATCACCAGGTAAATCACAGAGTGCATAGAGAGCAAAAATACAGGAAAGGAGGAAACTCAGGAGAGGGAGAGGGAGAGGGAGAGGGAGGGAGGGAGAGAGAGAGAGAGAGAGATGCCAGGAAATGACATTAGAAAATAAGACCCTAAATCTGTAAATAAGAGGAGAGGAAGTGGGATGTATGTTAGACTTTAACGATAGCTAAACATTATAAGTGCTTAAGCAAGCAGTAATGATTAACCTACGATTTAAGTTACCTGGAAGATTCTGTGAGTCAATAATATGCTGCCAAGTACACTGTAACTTGAAAGTAACAAACTATATAATGTCACTACGTAAGGCAATAAAGACACCACATATTTCTTCAACCTCTCGGTGTGTGGTCATTTACAACAACTTCTCTGGCTGTTTTTGTGCCTGCTCATCCAACAATCTTAGTAGCTGCAAAATTGAGTGGATCTTTTAGTGATTTTTGCAATTAGCTCTTTTTGGGTAGAGCTGGACTATGTCTAAGTGTGGGAGGAAATGTGGGTGGGAATGTGGGGGGTGGGTCATACCTTTGCAGGAAAGGAAGTCTGACATGGACATTAAATGTGGCATAGCCTCTGCTCACCATCAGTCAGGTGGTTGAGTCCTGGCAACTCCTCCAGCTCACTCCTGAAGACCCATTCAAGGGGCAAAAAGGTCTCCTTCTCCAGCTCCTCCATCCAGGACACCAGAGGTTCCACCCTCCTGGTGAGGCTGTCATAGCGAGTGATGGGCTGGTCATCCAGGTAGCCCCTAAGGAAGGATGGAGGCAGCTCCTGGCTGGGCTCTAATAGTCGCAGGTAGAAATAATGCAGGGAGTGGAAGCCTGAAAAGGGAGAAGAGCACAGGGGTGAAACGTGCAGGGGTTCGGACCGGATCGCCCGATCCAGTAGCGATGGAGGCGGGTGGTTCGGAGAACCGGTAGCAAAAATCCCTGCCCCCCCACGCCCCCATGCCCAGCTGAGCCGTGCAATCATCAGAGGCTTTTTTTTAATAATAGTCTGATTCTTCTCTTTCTTGTAATTCTTTGGTTAACCTATCCATTTCAGCGCATTCTAAAATTTTCCCTATTACTTCTGTTTCACTTGGTATTTTTTCTTGTTTCCAATTTCTTGCGTAGGTTATTCTTGCAGCAGTTAATATGTGGATTGTAAGATATTTGATATCCTTAGGGTATGATTTGTTAAATATTCCTAATAAAAATGTTTCTGGTTCTTTTTCAATCTGTGTTTTTGTTATTTGTTCCAACCATTTTTTGATGTTAGACCAAAATTTCTTTGCTGTCGGGCACGTCCACCATAAATGATAGAAAGTCCCTTGTGCCTTTTTGCACTTCCAACAAATTGGGCTATTTTTAGGTTGTATTTTTGCCAATCTGGTTGGAGATATATGCCACCGATAAAACATTTTCAGTTGGTTTTCCTTGTACGCCGTTGCTTTCGTTAACTTTAGGTTTACCTGCCAGAACTTTTCCCATTTTTCCAAAGGTATTGTGTGTTTGATATTTTGAGCCCACTTGATCATCGTTTCTTTGACTGTCTCTTCTTCCAATTTATAGCGTAGGAGAAATTTATAAATTCTACTAATTAATTTATTTTCTGAATCTAATATAATTTTATCTATTTCTTGTTTTTGATTATAAATTTCATATGTTTTTATATGTTCTCTATATTTGGATCGTATTTGAGTGTAAGTCCACCAGTCTATTCCAGAGGCTTTTTTTAAAAAACTTTTTAAAGCATTTTTTCTTCGGTCGAAAAAATGCTTTTAAAAGTAAAAGAAAAAGCCTCCGGTGATCACACGGCTCTGCTGGGATCATCAGAGCCTTTTAAAAGCATTTTTTTTCTACCACTTCTTTGGCCAAAGAGGTTGCAGAAAAAATGCTTTTAAAAGAAAAAAAAAGCTGGCCACGCCCACCCAGTCACATTACCCCCACACCAAGCCACATCCGCAGAACCGGTAGTAACAAATTTTACATTTCACCACTGGAAAAGCAGAATTAGGGGGTCTGTACTGCAGTTCCAGCCCCTCCGAAATTTTGGAGGGGCTCCCCCTGTAACAAGTGGGCAGCTAGCTTTCCCATCTGCTTGGGATGGTTTATGCCTTTAAACGCAAGGAGAAAGCTCCCGCATCTGTTGGCTGTCCTTCAAAATATATGGGCAGGCCCGTATCTGGTTAAGGTGCTCCACACGCCCCACAATTTCTCTGGGGGAGGAGGGAGGGGGATTTCCAGCCAGCTGGTGTAGTCTGACCTCAATTGTAACTTTCCCCCGCCAATCACAGGGAGTCAGGATTCAGAATTAGAATCAGAATAGAGCTGGAAGGGACTTTGGAGGTCTTCTAGTCCAGCCACCTGCTGAAGCAGGAGAACCTTTACCATCTCAGTCAAGTGACTGTCCAATCTCTTCTTAAAAACTTCCAGTGATGGAGCCCCCCACAACTTCTGAAGACAAACTTCGGTTCCACTGGTTAATTGTTCCTTAGGAAGTTTCTCCTTAATTCCAGGTTTCTTCTCTCCTTGATTAATTTCCATCCATTGTTTCTTTTTGTCGCCTTCTGGTGCTTTGGAAAATAAATTGACCCCCTCTTCTTTGTAACAGCCCTTCAAATACTGGAATACTGCTATCATGTCCCCACTAGTCCTTCTTTTCTCTAAACTAGCCAAACTCAAATCTTGCAGCTGTTCTTCATATGTTTTAGTCTCCAGGCCTTTAATCAGGGATGAAATGCTCCCGGTTCGGACAGAATCAGCTGATCTACTGTTCTGCGGGACCGCCTACTACCACCAATAGCCTCCCACCGGCCGATACGCTCCCATAGAGAGGGGCTCCTCCGGGTGCCGTCGGCCAAACAAACACCTCTCCAGACAGTAAGGAATGCAGGTATGATCTGGACAGCGTTCACACCTGCCGGCAACCTAGCGACCCTGGGAACCAAAGCCCAGGTCGCTGTGCCTACGGAGCAGCCAAATAAGCAGGTGATGGTCCGGACACAAAATGGCGACCCGCAAGACGAATTCCAACAAGTCCTGAGCCAGGCGAAACAAGGCGCCTACGGCCGGACTGAAGCTGCGATGAAGGAGGCAGTAAAAAAATGCACCGAAACAGCTAATGAGTTTGCCAGCCGGCAGGGACTCAAGCCGATAAGTTCTGTGGCTGAAAAGCAGAGCGGCAGCCTCGCGCAATGACTAGCGGCAAATGGCGGCAAAAGAAACAGTCAAATAAACCGCCAGCCAAGCCAAGCCGCTAACGGCGGCCGGAGCCCCGAACCGCCGATGCGAGCCTGTAAACTTTACCAAAGTGAAGGCAGGCGAAGCGCAGCACAATTAAACAAGGAACAAAATAATTTAAAGTCAAATAACTAAAGAGGATCAGAATTAATAGCCAAATTGAAAATAAGCAATAGACACTCGAAGCTCTTGCAATGGCTGAGTGAAAAAGTCTGAGGAAGGAGCAGGAAGTGAGGAGGATCCAGCTCCAGAGGGATTTGATTGACACTCAGCCATGCAAATAGGAGTGATCATAACCCAGAATGAGGAGTGTCTTCACAGCGAGGATAAAAGGGTCGTTCAGGTAAGCAACGACCATTTTCCTCCTCGCTGTTCAGACACTCCTCATTCACGGGTGGTTCAGAGAACTGGTAGTGATGGCGGCTCAAGGCTCTGCCCACCTGCCCGGTTGTCGTTACTTCCTGGTTTTAATCAGGAAGTAATGTGTTTTTTACCCTCTGTGCATGTGCAGGTTTTGCGCCTGCGCAGAAGGTCTGCACACGCATGTGACACGCGCGGTGCATGCACTTCCGAACCGGAAAGGAACGTAAATAGATTTCACCCCTGTCTTTAATCATCTTAGTTGTTCTTCTTTGCACTTTTTTCCAAAGTCTCAACATCTTTTTTCTAATGTGGTGACCAAAACTGGATGCAAGTATTCCAGGTGTGCAATTCTAAGGCTTTATAAAGTGGTACCAATTACTACACGTGATTTTAATTCTATGCCTCTGTTTATACAACCAAGGATTATATTAGCTTTTTTGATGGCTGCTGCACACTGCTGGCTCATGTTTTAAGGGATCGTCCACTAGGACTCCAAGGTCCCTCTCACAGTTACTGTTTTTGAGCCAGGTTTTGCCTAACCTGTACTTTGGTTTTTCCCACCCAGGTGTAAAACCTTGTTTTTCTCTACATTAAATTAAATTTAAATTAAAATGCCCTTGATGTGATGTCTCGCTGCCTGGAGGCCGTGCGGGCCTGGATGGGGAGGAACAGGCTCAGACTCAACCCCTCCAAGACCGAGTGGCTGTGGCTGCCGGCGTCCCGATATAGTCAGCAGGTGCCATCGCTGACTATTGGGGGGGAATCTTTGCCCCCCACAGAGAGGGCTCGCAATCTGGGTGTCCTCCTGGATGCACGGCTGTCTTTAGAAGAGCATAAGAGCATATGAACCTGATAAAAGGGGGGCCTTTTATCAGGTTCACCTGATCCGCCAGTTGCAGTCCTTTCTGGACCGGGACGCCTTGCGCACGGTCACCCACGCCCTTGTCACCTCCCGGCTGGACTATTGTAATGCTCTCTACATGGGGCTCCCCTTGAAGAGCACTCGGAGGCTCCAACTGGTCCAGAATGAGGCCACGCGGGTGGTTATGGGCGCAACTCGTTGTGCCCGCGTGACACCCCTCCTGTGCGAGCTGCACTGGCTCCCAGTGGTCTTCCGGGTGCGATTCAAGGTGTTGGTCACCACCTTCAAAGCGCTCCATGGCATAGGACCCGGGTACCTCCGAGACCGTCTTCTGCCACCAATAGCCTCCCACCGGCCAGTCCGTTCCCACAGAGAGGGTCACCTCAGGGTGCCATCAGCCAAGTTATGTCGGCTGGCGACACCCAGGGGGAGGGCCTTCTCTGTGGGAGCCCCAGCCCTGTGGAATGAACTGCCCCCGGAAATACGTAAGATCTCCGACCTCCGGGTGTTCCGCTGCGCATTGAAGACCCTGTTGTTCCGCCAGGCCGGACTATCAACACAATAGTTTTAAATTGGGGTATTTTAAATTTTTGGGGTTTTAAATCGGCCAAATCTATTTAATTATTTTAATTTTTAATCATTGTTGTGTCTTGTGTTTTTAAATTGGCTGTACACCGCCCTGAGACCTTCGGGAGAAGGGCGGTATAGAAATAAAATTATGATTATTATTATTATTATTATTATTATTATTATTATTATTATTATTATTATTATTATTATTATTATTATTATTATTATTATTATTATTCATTTTGTTGGATAGAGCCCATTGTTCAAGTCTGTCAAGATCCTTTTGGATCCTGAGTTTGTCTTCTGGGCTGTTTGCTATTCCTGGCAGCTTAGTGTCACCTGAAAATCTGATGAGTTCCTCTTCTATTAGCAATAGCAATACCTGTTAGACTTATATACACCTTAATTTATACCTTATATATACCCTCAATTTTACCCACCTCGGAAGGATGGAAGGCTGAGTCAACCTATTCTCTCCAATTCTCCTAAAGTTTCCTTGTTAGAGTGGGAGACCCGACTGTCTCCCCAGCAAAGCAATGTGCCCCCCGCCCCTCGCCCCTCGCCCAGACCACAGGGAGGTTTTCTGATGGAGTTCTATTTTTATTTTTATTTTTAATTTGATTTGATTTATATGCCGCCCTTCTCTGAAGACTCAGGGCAGCTTACAATTACATGGCGCTCCCATGTAACACCGCTCCTGCACGAGCTGCACTGGCTCCCAGTGGTCTTCCGGGTGCGCTTCAAGGTGTTGGTCATCACCTTTAAAGCGCTCCATGGCATAGGGCCTAGCTATCTTCGAGACCGCCTGCTGCTACCGACGGCCTCCCATCAACCCGTGTGCTCCCATAGAGAGGGCCTCCTCAGGGGGCCATCAGCCAAACAATGTAGGCTGGTGGCCCCCAGGGGGAGGGCCTTCTCTGTGGGGGCTCCCACCCTCTGGAATCAGCTGCCCCCAGAGATAAGGAGAATCCAAGACCTCCGTGCCTTCCGCCGTGCCCTTAAAACTCACTTTTTCCAGCAAGCCGGGCTGGCTTAAGAAGAAATTTTTAAATATTTTAATTGGTTTGTGATTTTTAATTTTTGGGCCAAATTTATATATATATTAATTTTTTTTAATATTTGTATTTCATGTTCTTAATTTTGGCTGTACACCGCCCTGAGTCCTCAGGGAGAAGGGCGATATATAAATTGGAAATAAAATAAAAATAAAAATAAATGCGTTAAGCAATAGCCTTCATCCTTTTGTATATTTATACAAAGTCAGCTTATTGCCCCCAAGAGGCCTCGGAGGTACTTCACGTCACTCTTTTTTTTTTTAATTTTGATTTATATGCCACCCTTCTCCGGAGACTCAGGGCGGCTTACAATGCGCTAAGCAATAGCCTTCATACTTTTGTGTATATTTATACAAAGTCAGCTTATTGCCCCCACAAACTGGGTCCTCATTTCACCTACCTTAGAAAGGATGGAAGGCTGAGTCAACCTTGAGCCTGGGGAGATTCGAACTTGCAGTAATTGCAGGCAGCTGAATGTTAATAACAGGCTATTAGTCTGCTGCGCCACCAAGCTCAATTTTTAAGAGAGCTCCTCCCTTTTCCAGGCCAGGAGGGGAAGGGGCGGTGTTGGGCTCAAAAGGTTCTTATTTCACTTTCACTCCGTTCGATCAGAGATACAAAGGTGAGCTGATTGCAAAAGAAACACTAAACGTCCTTAAAGGACGCTCAGCAAAGCGCAAAGGAGTTTTTTTTTTTAAATTTGATTTATATGCCGCCCTTCTCCGGAGACTCAGGGCGGCTTACAATGCGCTAAGCAATAGCCTTCATCCTTTTGTGTATATTTATACAAAGTCAGCTTATTGCCCCCACAAACTGGGTCCTCATTTAACCTACCTTAGAAAGGATGGAAGGCTGAGTCAACCTTGAGCCTTGGAGAGATTCGAACCTGCAGAAATTGCAGGCAGCTGTGTTAATAACAGGGTGCATTAAACCACTGTTCGGGGCGGGGAGAGAGAGAGAGAGAGACCCAGGCAAGTGACACCGCAGGAACCGCCCCCTCTCTGCACATTCACTTTTCAACTTTCGCTTTCGCTTTTTGCAGAAATACAAACGCAAACCGATTGGAAATGACAGACTTAAAAGTTCTTAAAAGAGGCTCCGCGAAGCGCAAAGAAGTTTGGGATGGAAAGGGGGAAGGGGGAAGAGAGACCTAGGAAGGGTACGCCCTCCCCTCCTCCCCCGCCCGAGGTCCAAACTTTCCGAAAACTCGCCCGTAAAAGCTCCCAACATTCTCCTTTCACTTTTCTCAGGAATAAAATGCGAACCGATTCCCAATGAAAGGCGAGCAGTTTTTAAACGAGGCTCAGCGAAGCCCGTGGGAAGAAACAGCGGGGGAGGGGGAGGGGGAGAAACCCGATCCAGGACATGAGCTCCCCCCCCCACTTTCAGCTTCTGCCCAGCCAGATACTCACCGCAACAGCCCCCCGGCACGGAGACCCCCAACGCCACCCCCAGGACCAAGAGGCAAGCCGGGCATAGGGGCATTTTCTTCTAACCACACAAGGCATTGGCGTCTTCTGATTGAGAATTCTAATCCCCTCCGCCCCCGCTTCCGACCTCCGCTGAAGTTCTCTGCCCCTCCAACCCACAAGCCAGCCCCCCACGCCCCCACCGGAAGCTCTTCCAATTCGTACAGGCAACAGCCCTTCCTGCAATAGGATAGGGATAGAACAGGTGTGGAATGAAAGAAAAAAGAAAAAAGAAAAGAAAAGAGAAAAGAGAAAAGAAAAGAAAAGAAAAGAGAGAAGAGAAGGAAAGGGAAAGGAAAGGAAAAGAAAGAAAGAAAGAAAGAAAGAAAGAAAGAAAGAAAGAAAGAAAAGAAGGAAAAGAAAAGAAAAGAAAAGAAAAAAGAAGAAAAGAAAAGGAAAGGAAAGGAAAGGAAAGGAAAGAAAAAAAAGAAAAGAAAAGAAGAAAAGGAAAGGAAAGGAAAGGGAAAGGAAAGGAAAAGAAAGAAAGAAAGAAAGAAAGAAGAAGAGAAGAGAAAAGAGAAGAGAAAAGAGAAGAGAAAAGAAGAAAAGAAAAGGAAAAGAAAAAAGAAGAAAAGAAGAAAAGAAAAGAAAGAAGAAAAGAAAAGAAGGAAAGGAAAGAAAAGAAAGAAAAGAAAAGAAAAGAAAAGAAAAAAGAAAAGAAAAAAAGAAAAGAAAAGAAAAGAAAAAAGAAGAAAAGAAAAGAAAAGAAAAAAGAAAAGAAAAGAAGAAGAAAAGAAAAGAAGAAGAAAAGAAAAGAAGAAAAGAAAAGAAAAGAAAAGAAAGAAAAGAAAAGAAAAGAAAAGAAAGAAGAAAAGGGTAGGGTAGGGTAGGGTAGGGTAGGGTAGGGTAGGAGTAACGGTCGGAAGGGATCTTGTGGGTCATCTAGTTTAGGAGACCCTAAACCATTTCTGACAGTCTCTTCTTCTTGAAAGCCTCCAGTGATGAAGCTCCCACAACTTCCCAAGGCAACTTCTGTTCCATTGGTTGATCGTTCTCCTTTTTTCTAGATTGAATGCCTCCTTGTTCAGTTTCCATCCATTGTTGTCTGGCCTTTGGTGCCTTGGAAAATAGCTTGACCCCTTCCTCTCTGTGTTGTTAGTTGCGAAGTCATGTCTGACCCATCATGACCCCATGGGCAACGTTCCTCCAGGCCTTCCTGTCCTCTACCATTCCACAGAGTTCTTTTAAACTCATGCCAACTGCTTCAGTGACTCCATCCAGCCACCTCGTTCTCTGTCGTCCCCTTCTTTTGTCCTCAATCTTTCCCAGCATTAGGCTCCTCTCCAGGGAGTCCGTCCTTCTCATTAGGTGGCTAAAGTATTTGAGTTTCCTCTTCAGGATCTGACCTTCTAAAGAGCAGTCAGGGTTGATCTCCTTTAGGACTGACCGGTTTGATCGCCTTGCAGTCCAAGGGACTCGCAGGAATCTTCTCCAGCACCATAGTTTAAAGGCCTCAATTATTTGGCGCTCAGCCTTTCTTATGGTCCAACTTTCACAGCCATACATTACAACTGGGAAAACCATAGCCTTGACTATGGACACTTTTGTTGGTAGGGTGATGTCTCTGCTTTTTAGAATGCTGTCTAGATTTGCCACATCTTTCCTCCCCAGGAGCAAGCGTCTTTTAATTTCTTGACTGCAGTCCCCATCTTCGGTGATCTTAGAGCCCAGGAAAATAAAATCTGTCACTACCTCCATTTCTTCTCCATCTATTTGCCAGGAATTGAGAGGGCTGGATGCCATGATCTTAGTTTTCTTGATGTTGAGTTTCAAGCCAACTTTTGCACTCTCCTTCTTCACCCACATCAAGAGGCTCTTTGGTTCCTCTTCAGTTTCTGCCATTAGAGTGGTACAGTCAGGTCCAAAAATATTGGGACATCGACACAATTCTAACATCTTTGGCTCTATACACCACCACAATGGAGTTGGAATGAAACAAACACAATGTGCTTTAACTGCAGACTGTCAGCTTTAATTTAAGGGTATGTACATCCAACTCAGGTGAACGGTATAGGACTTACAGCAGTTTGCATATGTGCCTCCCACTTGTTAAGGGACCAAAAGTAATGGGACAGAATAATAATCATAAATCAAACTTTCCCTTCTTAATAGTTGGTTGCAAATCCTTTGCAGTCAATCACAGCCTGAAGTCTGGAATGCATAGACATCACCAGACGCTGGGTTTCATCCCTGGTGATGCTCTGCCAGGCCTCTACTGCAACTCTTCAGTTCCTGCTTGTTCTTGGGGCATTTTCCCTTCAGTTTTGTCTTCAGCAAGTGAAATGCATGCTCAATGGGATTCAGGTCAGGTGATTGACTTGGCCATTGCATAACATTCCACTTCTGTCCCTTCAAAAACTCTTTAGTTGCTTTTGCAGTATGCTTTGGGTCATTGTCCATCTGCACTGTGAAGCGCCGTCCAATGAGTTCTGCAGCATTTGGCTGAATGTGAGCAGATAATATTGCCCGAAACACTTCAGAATTCATCCTGCTGCTTTTGTCAGCAGTCACATCATCAATAAATACAAGAGAACCAGTTCCATTGGCAGCCATACATGCCCACGCCATGACACTACCACCACCATGCTTCACTGATGAGATGGTATGCTTAGAATCATGAGCAGTTCCTTTCCTTCTCCATACTCTTCTCTTCCCATCACTCTGGTACAAGTTGATCTTGGTCTCATCTGCCCATAGGATCTTGTTCCAGAACTGTGAAGGCTTTGTTAGACGTTGTTTGGCAAACTCTAATCTGGCCTTCCTGTTTTTGAGGCTCACCAATGGTTTACATCTTGTGGTGAACCCTCTGTATTCACTCTGGTGAAGTCTTCTCTTGATTGTTGACTTTGACACACATACACCTACCCCCTGGAGAGTGTTCTTGATCTGGCCAACTGTTGTGAAGGGTGTTTTCTTCACCAGGAAAAGAATTCTTCGGTCATCCACCACACTTGTTTTCCGTGGTCTCCCAGGTCTTTTGGTGTTGCTGAGCTCACCGGTGCATTCCTTCTTTTTGAGAATGTTTCAAACAGTTGTTTTGGCCACGCCTAATGTTCTTGCTATCTCTCTGATGGGTTTGTTTTGTTTCTTCAGCCTAATGATGGCTTGCTTCACTGATAGTGACAGCTCTTTGGATCTCATCTTGAGAGTTGACAGCAACAGATTCCAAATGCAAATAGCACACTTGAAATGAACTCTGGGCCTTTTATCTGCACATTGTAATTGGGGTAATGAGGGAATATCACACACCTGGCCATGGAACAGCTGAGAAGCCAATTGTCCCATTACTTTTGGTCCCTTAACAAGTCCTACACCGTTCACCTGAGTTGGATGTACATACCCTCAAATTAAAGCTGACAGTCTGCAGTTAATGCACATTGTGTTTGTTTCATTCCAACTCCATTGTGGTGGTGTATAGAGCCAAAGATGTTAGAATTGTGTCGATGTCCCAATATTTCTGGACCTGACTGTATCATCTGCATATCTGAGGTTGTTGATATTTCTCCCGGCAATCTTAATTCCAACTTTTGATTCATCTAGCCCCGCCTTTCTCATGATGTGCTCTGCATACAAGTTAAATAGGCAGGGCGACAGTATACAATTCCCAATTTTGAATCAATCAGTAGTTCCATGTCCAGTTCTCACTGTTGCTTCTTGACCCGCATATAGGTTTCTCAAGAGACAAATAGGATGGTCTGGTACTCCCATCTCGTTAAGAACTTGTCACAATTTGTTATGATCCACACAATCAAAGGCTTTAGCATAGTCAATGAAGCAGAAGTAGATGTTTTTCTGGAACTCCCTAGCTTTCTCCATGATCCAGCCTATGTTGGCAATTTGATCTCTAGTTCCTCTACCTCTTCAAAATCCTGCCTGTACGTCTGGTACAGTGGTGGGATTCAAAGATTTTTACTACCGGTTCTGTGGGCGTGGCTTGGTGGGTGTGGCTTGGTAGGCATGGCAGGGCAAGGATACTGTAAAATCTCCATTCCCACCCCACTCCAGGGGAAGGTTACTGCAAAATCCCCATTTCCTCCTGATCAGCTGGGACTCGGGAGGCAGAGAATAGATGGGGGCAAGGCCAGTCAGAGGTGGTATTTACCTCTGGATAAATTTCCTCTGGGTTAAACTATCCCACTCATGCTCCACAGGATGCCACTAGTGGTCTCTCTCTTTGGGGTTGATCTCGGTGCTGAGCCAGACATAAAAGGTCATGTATAGGTGAGGGCCACGTTCCTACGGAAGGTCTCATGCTTTTGGACCTCTACATCTCTCTTTCAGGTGACCCGGATCTCCTTGGGGAAGCAGCCACAAACCGGGCAGATGAAGGTCTCACTTTAATCTTGCAAGGTTAAAAGTCTGACTTTAACCTTTCCCACTAAGGCAGGGGTGTGAAACTCAATCCCGTCGTGGGCCGCGTCAGGATTATATCTGCCCTTGGGGGGCCAGGGTGGGTGTGGCCTGGTCATTGCGGCTGACTGGGTAGGCATGGCCAATCCCAGAGGAGCAGGGGCCAGTCCCTCGCCGTCTCTGGCATGGTCTGTGGGCCAATTCCATCGCCTGTTGTGAGCCAGATCCAGCCCGTAGGCTGCATGTTTGACACCCCTAAGGGTTCTATAAAAATGGCAGTAGTACAACTCAATAATTCTCAGGACAAGACAGAAATAAACTACTTCTAGATACAAAGTGACATTTCTCTATAAATATATTTATTCTGTTTAAATTGACCCAACGTCCATCATAAATGACGTTGGGCAGCTTACAGAGTTTTTATTTATTTATTTAACATACGGCGATGTAACATTAGTCAGGAGACAACAATGTTAATGCAGAGTAGTACTTGGTTGCCTGTTTGCTAGCCCTGTTTGGTTGATGCTCGCGCACTTCCCAAGGTGTGCCACAATAGGGCGAGGTAGCTTTGTACCAGAAAGAAAGACTTTCCTGCAGCAGCATCTGAGCTCCTCTCCTTCCACTGAAACCACCTCACAAATGCAACCGAGAAGGTTCAGTGCCGGCAGGATTCTGGTCATTTGCACGAAGCGCCAGCTCATTTCCCAACCGAAGTGGTACCTATTTATCTACTTGCATGGAACATGCTTTCGAACTGCTAGGTGGGCAGAAGCTGAGGTGAGGGATGGGAGCTCATCCAGTGCTAGGACTCAAACCACTGCAACAAAGACCATTTCCAGCCTCATTAAGTTACTGAACCACCACACCTCTTTCTTAGGATTAAAACTGAACTAAAAATTAAAAAAAAAAAGCACATAACAAGATAATTAAAACAATAAGAACTATTACAACCATAAATACAATCTTCACAAAGTTACAATCTCATTACCAGTACAGCCATTTGTTAGGCTCCATACCACTACCAGATCCTCAGGCCAGATAGCAAAGCCATGTCCTCAGGTCCTTCCCCAAGTCCAGTAAGGTCAAGACCAGTCTGACCTCAAGCAATCATGATGTTCCAGAAGAGGGGTTCTTCAGCAGGAAAAACTCTCATCCTGGGTCATGTCAGATGACATTTCTTACTGATGGGACCCTCTAACCCACTGAACCTGATGGGATGGATAGCGGTAATCAGGGAGACATAATCCCAACTAACCCAGCCCTGCAATGGAAGGCTTTATAGGTCATTATCAGTACCTTGAATCAGTGGTGAAATGTAAAATTTGTTACTACTGGTTCTATGGGCATGGCTTGGGGGGTGGGTTTGTAATGTGACTGAGTGGGCATGGCCAACTTTTTTTTTTTTTTACTTTTTAAAAGCATTTTTTCTACAACCTCTTCGGCCAAAGAGGCTGTAAAAAATGCTTTTAAAAGCCACTGACGATCCCAGCTGAGCCGCCCGATCATCAGAGGCTTTTTTTTTTTAACTTTTAAAAGCATTTTTTCTACAACCTCTTCGGCCAAAGAGGCTGTAAAAAATGCTTTTAAAAGCCACTGACGATCCCAGCTGAGCCGCGCGATCATCAGAGGCTTTTTTTTTTACTTTTAAAAGCATTTTTTCTACAACCACTTCGGCCAAAGAGGCTGTAAAAAATGCTTTTAAAAGCCACTGACGATCCCAGCTGAGCCGCCCGATCATCAGAGGCTTTTTTTTTTAACTTTTAAAAGCATTTTTTTCTACAACCTCTTCGGCCAAAGAGGCTGTAAAAAATGCTTTTAAAAACCACTGACGATCCCAGCTGAGCCGCCCGATCATCAGAGGCTTTTTTTTTAAACTTTTAAAAGCATTTTTTCTACAACCTATTCGGCCAAAGAGGCTGTAAAAAATGCTTTTAAAAGCCACTGACGATCCCAGCTGAGCCACGCGATCATCAGAGGCTTTTTTTTTTAACTTTTAAAAGCATTTTTTCTACAACCTCTTCGGCCAAAGAGGCTGTAAAAAATGCTTTTAAAAGCCACTGACGATCCCAGCTGAGCCGCCCGATCATCAGAGGCTTTTTTTTTAACTTTTAAAAGCATTTTTTCTACAACCTATTCGGCCAAAGAGACTGTAAAAAATGCTTTTAAAAGCCACTGACAATCCCAGCTGAGCCACGTGATCATCAGAGGCTTTTTTTTTAACTTTTAAAAGCATTTTTTCTACAACCACTTCGGCCAAAGAGGCTGTAAAAAACACTTTTAAAAGCCACTGACGATCCCAGCTGAGCCACATGATCATCAGAGGCTTTTTAAAAAACTTTTAAAAGCATTTTTTCTACAACCTCTTCGGCCAAAGAGGCTGTAAAAAACGCTTTTAAAAGCCACTGACGATCCCAGCTGAGCCGCCCGATCATCAGAGGCTTTTTAAAAAAACTTTTAAAAGCATTTTTTCGGCTGAAGAGGTTGTAGAAAAAATGCTTTTAAAAGTAAAAAAAAAAAAAGCTTCTGATGATCGCACGGCTCAGCTGGGCATCGGGGGGGCAAGGATTTTTGCTACCGGTACTCTGAACCACCCACCGCCATCGCTACCGGATCGGGCGATCCGGTCCGAACCGGGAGCATTTCACCCCTGCCTTGAATTCAACCTGGAAGCAAACCAGTGATTGTATTCAACCAGTTCTATCTGGTTTGGGTAAACTGGTAGTGCCGGCTGCAGGTGGATCCGCCCATCCACCCGGATGTAATCACATCCCATTTTTGATGCTCTGCGCATACGCTCACATTTGCGAACTGGTAGCGAAGGTAAGTGAATACCACCACTGAAGCAAACTGATAACGTACGTGGCTCAAAGAGCAAAGGTGTGACATGTATTGATCTAGAGGTATACACAAGTGCTTGTGTCACTACATTTTACATCAGGTGATGTTTCTGGGTACCCTTCAAAGGTACCCTCATGTAGAGGGCATTACAGTGATCCATCTGAGATGTGTTGAGAGTGACCTAGAGTTATAACTCTGTAATAACAGCAGAAAGAACATCATGAAAACATCTTCTCCAGTCATCTCACTTCCTCTCTTCTCCTTAAGGATCCTTAAAAATGGGGCAATGGAGCCCCAGAAGTTGCCTTTTTCAAAAGGACCATCTCTGAGCTTTGAGGCAAATAACAAGAGGCCTCGGAGGTACTTCATGTCACTTTTTTTTTTTTAAATTTTGATTTATATGCCGCCCTTCTCCGGAGACTCAGGGCGGCTTACAGTGCGTTAAGCAACAGCCTTCATACTTTTGTACATTTTATACAAAGTCAGCTTATTGCCCCCACAAACTGGGTCCTCATTTTACCTACCTTAGAAAGGATGGAAGGCTGAGTCAACCTTGAGCCTGGCGAGATTCGAACTTACTTTAATTGCAGACAGCTGGTGTTAAAATTACAGTGCTTTTGTCTGCAGAGCTATCCAGGCTCTTGACTGGTTTATCAGGAACAGACGCGTGAATTGATTCTGCCCTAAAGGCAAGCCCTGAGAATTTCACTCCTGAATCCCACGATTCTTTCACTTTGAATGGCACTTCATATAGGAAGAGTACTTATTATTATAGGGAAGCTTTTGAACTTTGATGTCAGAGAAGTCATCCGAGAATACTATGGATAATCAAGCAAACAAATACATCCACAGCAACCAATTACACCATATATTGCCTCATGCATGAGTCAGCACTCTCTAACTAATCCAGTAAAATCGCGTATCCTGGCCTATTGTCTATGGAGATTCTCAATTATCCAGGTCGCAGTTGTCCCAAAGGTGCTTTTTCAAGATGCAACTGGACTTTCTTGATTTTTCTTCGAAAACGTTTTGCTTCTCATCCAAGGAGCTTCTTCAGCTCTGAAGAAGTTCTGTCCTATTGGACACTTTACTGTTCCAGCTACTAAATTCAACATCCTAACAGAATCCTTCATTCAACGACAGCAATCCCGGCTCTCCCGGTTGAGGTCGTTAAATGGTTTTGTCAGTCATTTTTTTTTTTAATTTGATTTATATGCCGCCCTTCTCCGAAGACTCAGGGCGGCTTACAATGTGCTCAGCAATAGCCTTCATCCTTTTGTATATTTATACAAAGTCAGCTTATTGCCCCCACAAACTGGGTCCTCATTTCACCTACCTTAGAAAGGATGGAAGGCTGAGTCAACCTTGAGCCTTGGCGAGATTCGAACCCTGCAGTAATTGCAGGCAGCTGGTCTTAATAAGCTTAATAACAGGGTGCCTTAAACCCCTGTACTACCAAGGCTCTGGTAGACTCCACTTAAGTGGAGTCCTACATAAAGAGTGGGACGGGGGTTGGAGGAGACCTTGGAAGGCCCAGCACCACAGTGTTCAAGTGTCTCTCCACTCTTAGCATCGAAATTCCTGTTCTGAGTCAACCTGGGTGCCGCCACCTTCCTCGGTTCCTTCTATTGCACCTGGTGTGCTACATTTCCCACTCCCGTCTCTCTCCTTTTGCCCTCTCTCTTCCACCCACTCTCAAGAGCAGCACCAGCAGCAAAACCTGACAATGTAAACATTTCAAGAGGAGAAGAAAAGGGAGGGGAAGGGGAGGGGGTTCCTGGATCTCTTTCCAAGACTCGGCTACATATATGAAGAAGAATCAGGGAGGAGGCACTTTGAAGTAGCTAATCCTCTTCCTTCATCAGAGGTAGTCGTGCTCGGTGTATCTTTCAGAATGCAGCCAAGCCCAGTTATTATTCTCTTTTGGGCCATGATAGCTGGTTCAATCTTGACACTTCTTGGTCCAGGGTCTCCAAGTGCCCAGACCATGTCAGAGACCTTTTGAGACTCTCTTCCTTCCCTTCTCGCTTGCGCAATGTTAACCCAGGGACTTCAAGAACCCAGTGGCGTCTCAACCGTTCGTAGTGTGTCCTGACCTGCAAAGAGAGAAAATGAAAAGTTTGTACCGGAAATGTAGTGTTTTTCTCCTCCTCCAATTAGAATCACAGGGCTGGAAAGGACCTTGGAGGTCTTCAACCCTTTGCTCAAGGCAGGAGTCCCTATTAGCTCTCAGTCATCCTCACCTCAATACTGACAGGGATGAAGGCAAGCAGCCAAAGAGGCTTCATATAAACAGCTCCTGATATAGGTGGGAGGGGATACTCTTCCTTCCTTCCTTCCTTCCTTCCTTCCTTCCTTCCTTCCTTCCTTCCTTCCTTCCTTCCTTCCTTCCTTCCCTTCCCTTCCCTTCCTTTCCCTTCCCTCCCCCTCCCTTCCTCCCTTCCTTTCCTTCCCTTCCTTCCCTTCCCTCCCTTTCCTTCCCTTCCCTTCCCTTCCCTCCCTCCCTTTCCTTTCCTTCCTTCCCTCCCTTCCCTTCCTTTCCTTCCCTTCCTTCCTTCCCTTCCCTTCCCTTTCCTCCCTCCCTCCCTCTCTCCCTTCCTGCTTCCTTCCTTTCCTTCCCTTCCTTCCTTCCCTTCCCTTCCCTCCCTCCCTCCCTCCCTTCCTTCCTTCCCTTCCCTTCCCTTCCTTCCTTCCTTCCCTTCCCTTCCTCCCTCCCTTCTTCCCTTTCCTTCCTTCCTTCCTTCCTTCCTTCCTTCCTTCCTTCCTTCCTTCCTTCCTTGATATCATCTACCTCAGTGACAGGTAACATCTTTGTTGTCATAATGCAATGCGCATGCGCCCCCCCGTGCCTCGTCCCCCCCCACGCATGCACTCGTGACCCCCCTCGTGCTCCCCCGTGCACCATTTTGGGGCTAGTAGGCCTCCCTGCATTTATAATCCATAATACAATGCACACATGACCCCTCCATGCACCCTGCCCCTCACGCATGCCCCTGTGTCTCCCGCATGTGCCCTGCCCCCGATGCATGTGTGGCAGAGACCCAAAAATCAGTTGGCAGGAGCCGCATGTGTGGTAGAGCTGAGCTGGGGCGACGGCTTGCGTGCCTGCAGAGAGGGCACGCGTTTGCCATCACAGATCTATCTAATATCTATCATTATCCATCATCTATCTATCACATTCTATCTCCTATCTTTTATCTATCATCTATCTAGGTATCTGTCACATTCTATCACCTAACATGTCTATCATCCATCCATATCTATCTATCTATCTATCTGTCTATCTATCTATCTATCTATCTTCTATCTATCTATCTATCTATCTATCTATCTATCTCCTATCTATCTATCTATCTATCTATCTATCTATCTCCTATCTATCTATCTATCTATCTATCTATCTATCTATCTATCTATCTCCTATCTATCTATCTATCTATCTATCTATCTATCTATCTATCTATCTATCTATCTATCTCCTATCTATCTATCTATCTATCTATCTCCTATCTATCTATCTATCTCCTATCTATCTATCTATCTATCTATCTCCTATCTATCTATCTATCTATCTCCTATCTATCTATCTATCTATCTATCTATCTATCTATCTCCTATCTATCTATCTATCTATCTCCTATCTATCTATCTATCTATCTATCTATCTATCTATCTCCTATCTATCTATCTATCCATCTATCTATCTATCTATCTATCTATCTATCTCCTATCTATCTATCTATCTATCTATCTATCTATCTATCTATCTCCTATCTATCTATCTATCTATCTATCTATCTGTCTGTCTGTCTGTCTGTCTGTCTGTCTGTCTATCTATCTCCTATCTATCTATCTATCTCCTATCTATCTATCTATCTATCTCCTATCTATCTATATCTCCTATCTATCTATCTATCTATCTACTATCTATCTATCTATCTATCTATCTATCTATCTATCTATCTATCTCCTATCTATCTATCTATTTATCTATCTATCTATCTATCTATCTCCTATCTATCTATCTATCTATCTATCTATCTATCTCCTATCTATCTATCTATCTATCTATCTATCTATCTATCTATCTATCTATCTATCTATCTATCTTTCTATCTATCTATCTATCCAGTGATTTGGATTACTACCGGTTCTGTGGGCGTGGCTTATTGGGGGGGTAATGAGAGTAGGTGGGCATGGCCAACTTTTTTTTTCTTTTTCTTTACTTTTAAAACCATTTTTTCTACAACCTCTTCGCCCGAAGAACCTCTTAAGAAAATGCTTTTAATTTAATTTAATTTAATTTAATTTAATTTAATTTAATTTAATTTATATGCTGCCCCTCTCCAAAGACTTTAAAAGCCTCTGACGATCAGGCAACTCAGCTGGGATCGTCAGAGGTTTTTTTTTTTTTTTTTTTTTTTTTTTACTTTAAAAGCATTTTTTCGGCCAAAGAGGTTGTAGAAAAAAATGCTTTTAAAAATAATTTTAAAAAGCCTCTGATGATTGCGCGGCTCAGCTGGACATGTTGGGGGCAGGGATTTTTGCTACCGGTTCTCTGAACCACCCTTTGCCATCGCTACCGGATCAGGCGATCCGGTCCAAACTGGGAGCATTTCACCCCTCTATCTATCTATCTATCTATCTATCTATCTATCTATCTATCTATCTATCTATCATCTACCTATCCATCCATCCATCTGTCTCTTTCTCTCTCTGTCTCTGTCTTTCTCTCTCTCCCATCTCATGATCTCCAGGATCTGTTAATAACTGTTTCTAAAGAAAAGTCACCAGGATCATTTTCATAGATGCCCCCTCCCGCCCTCTGTTTTTCCATCCTCCCATTCCTTCTCTCCCTCCCTTCCAGTCCTTCTCGGACAGAAATCCCCCATTTCTGCAGGGTGACCCCAGCTCCTGTTCCTGGCTCCTTCCCCATCTCCTTCTCCTCCCTTGGAGCTGATGGGTGCAAGAGGCTGAGCTGGGCTGGATCTTCCCTGCAGAGCAAGTAATCACTGGCAGGAAGGACTGAGCCCCAGGGGAGCCCCAAGCAACCCACAATCCCATCATGGTTGCCTTAGAAAGACTTTGGGGACGAATGTTCCCCCACCCAACACTTCAATGGTCTTGGCTCTTGGGTATTTCCCAAGCCCAGAGTTCTGATTCTTACATAGACTTCAGCAACAATCAGACTCACCTCTGAGGTTACTTCGGATCGGAGCATCGATTCTGATTGAATCTCATCTTCTTCTGTGTCAGAAGCAGAGGAAACATAAACTCTTTCTAAAGGAAAGTCATCAGGCGAAGTCCTCACTTCCTGATAGAAAATTATCCTATGTCTCCAGCACCAGCCTGATGGCAAAAAGAGAGGACAGCTGGTTAATTTTGGGAGCAGCGGCTCCTGCCTGGAATAGAGAAGGACTCATGCTAAGATCTTCAGAAGACCCAGATGGTCCAACTGCCTGGATTATAACCAGGCATCCTGAGAAAGATGCATCAGTACTTCTATCGGTTTATTATGGACCAAGGAAAAACGGTTAGCTGTTAAGAGGTACCGACCATGAGAAAGTGGAAAAGAACATTCCTGGGTATTATTCAGAAGTAATCAGATTGAAATTCTCCTTGTTACTATTACAGCTCTGATGGGACCACACCAGAGGTGAAATGCTCCCAGTTCGGACCGGGTCACCCGATCCGGTAGCGATGGAGGCAGGTGGTTCGGGGAACCGGTAGCCAAAATCCCTGCACCTCCCCCACCCCCCCACCCAGCTGAGCCACGCAATCATCAGAGGCTTTTTTTTTTTTTTTTACTTTTTAAAGCATTTTTTCCTGCAATCTCTTCGGCCCAAAAAATGCTTTTAAAAATAAAATTAAAAAAAGCCTCTGATGATCGCGCGGCTCAGCTGGGATCATCAGAGCCTTTTAAAAGCATTTTTTCTACAACCTTTTCAACCGAAGAGGTTATTAAAAAAAAATGCTCTTAAAAGTAAAAAAGTTGGCCACGCCCACCCGGTCACATTTTTTTTAAAAAAATTGATTTATATGCCGCCCTTCTCCGGAGACTCAGGGCGGCTTACAATGCGTTAAGCAATAGCCTTCATACTTTTGTATATTTATACAAAGTCAGCTTATTGCCCCCACAAACTGGGTCCTCATTTTACCTACCTTAGAAAGGATGGAAGGCTGAGTCAACCTTGAGCCTTGGAGAGATTCGAACCAGCAGTAAATTGCAGGCAGCTGTGTTAATAACAGGGTGCTTAGACCACTGTACTATCAAGGCTCTTTATTAACCCACCACCACCACCACCAAGCCATACTGGTAGTAACAAATTTTACATTTCACCACTGGACCACACAGTTCTGTTTTTCCACCACATCTGAAGCCATTCAATGCAGAAAGGGCCAGGGGTGGAGGTCAGTGGCTGTATTTGTTTCACTTACATATCAGGAAGAGTATCGCAGCTCCCAAGGTTAAGCCTGCTACAATTCCCACAGGAATCTGCCACCCTGTAGCTAAAGAAAGAGAAACATGCTTTCGATTACCATATTTTTCAGAGTATAAGACGCTCTGGACTATAAGACGCACCTACCTTTTTTGGTGAGGAAAATAAGAAAAAGAAATCTGCCTCTGCCTCCCAGCAATTTTGCCTCGTTGCGGCAAACAGCAAATAGCCTGCTTTACTTTCATTTTCATTTGAGTAGCACAAGGGAAAAAAAAATATCTACTCCCAGCAATTTGCCTCCTTGCAGCAAGCAGCAGAGGCCGGCACAAAACAGCTGAGAGCAAAAGAGCTGAGAGTCGGGAGGCTGATCCAATCAACTTGTGCTAATTAGGCTGTGCTGAAGCTGAAAGGAGCTATTTCTTCTTGCTGCTTGCTGCAAGGCGGTAAACTGCTGGAGGGCAGAGGGCAAAGGGTGGGGGCCAGTGCGTGGGCGGGCCTACATTCAGTGTATAAGATGCACCTAAATCCCCCCCCAAGTTAAGTATTTGTGCTGTTTAGAAGGTAAAGGCTTCGTCAATATGTCAGCTAATTGTTCAGAGGTATCACAATGCACTGCTTTGATAAATCCATCTTGAGACAATTGTCTCACATGCTTAAATTTTATATCTATATGCCTGGATCTTTGTCCAATGGCATCGGATCTAGATATTTCAATGGCTGCTTTATTGTCTTCATGCATAACAAAACATCTTCATGCATAACAAACATCTGAAATTAAATCATTAAACCATACAAGGTTATTTGCAGCTTTGGATAAACAAACATATTCCGCTTCTGTGGTTGAAGTGGCTACCAGTTCTTGTTTACCAGTGTACCAGTAAACTGGACAGTCATTTAACAGAAAAATATAACCAGAAGTACTTTTTCTGCATGATATATCTCCAGCCCAATCCGCATCTGCGTAACATGTAAGTTTTGGTTCTTTATTATCACTAGGTTCTAATACTAGGCAAAAGTCTAATGTACTTTTCAGATATCTTAAAATTCTTTTGACAGCTTCCCAGTGATACATTGTTGGTTTGCTAACGTGCCTTGATAATAAATTGAGTGGTAATGCAATATCTGGCCTAGTCCAATTAGATATATAAAGAAGTGAACCTATGACTGATCTATAAAATGTATTATCCTTGAATTCAGGGGAAGATTCATCAGTATTTCTAAGGAAATCAGTTTGCATAGGAGTGTCACAGGGTTTGGCATTGTTTAAATTGCATTTGTTTAGAAGTTCAATAATCTTATCTTTCTGAGTAAGTTTGAATCCCCTTCTAGTTTTGTTAATTTGTACACCAAGGTATTTGTTTACTTTACCTAGAGATTTCAACGAGAAATGTTCATTTAGCTTGTTTACAAAGATTTCTCTTCTCTCTTTGTGTTTTCCTATATATAAAATATCATCTACATAAATCAATACAAATTCAATGTAATCATCACTCTTTTTGACAAAGAAACAGTTATCAGCAGTGGTAGCGTTGAAATCCATGGTCTTAAGTACTTTTACCAAGCAATCGTACCATCTTTTGCCAGATTGCTTTAATTCGTATAAACTCTTGTTCAATAGCCAAATTTCATTTTTATTAGTGTATTGACTGTGAGGTGCTCTTACATATATTTCCTTATCTAGTTTTGCGTGTAGGTACGCAGTCTGTATGTCATATTGAAATACATCAAGATTGAGTGCGGATGCTACTACTAGAGCTGTTTTAACACTCTCTGTTCTTACTGTGGGGGAGTACGTGTCAGTATAGTCCTCCGGATATTTTTGTGCATAACCTTGTGCAACCAATCTAGCTTTGTATAGGGTATTGCCTCCTTCTAGGTTCTTAATTTTATAAATCCACCTGGTACCAATAATTGTTTTATCTTTAGGTGCAATCGCAGGTGTGAATACATTTAATCCTTGCAAACTTTCCATCTCTTTTTTCATAGCTAGTTCCCATTTTTCCTTTTCTTCACGAGGGAGTTTTAATACTTCCTCATATGTATTAGGTGTTATTTGTTCACCATCCATATGCATTATGTAATCTCTGTATTTATTTGGTATTTGATTTCTGTTGTTCCTAATAGCTCTTTCAGGTTTGCTATGGTAGTCATGCAAATATCTTGCTTCCTTTTTTGTTAATGTGTCTGTCTTTATTTTGTGTTGACTATTTGTCCATGTTTTGGTTTTGTTTTTATTTTTGTTGATATTTTGATTTTCTATTGTCCCTTCCTTACGAGATTTTGTATCTTTGCATTTATTTGGAAATATTTCATTAAGATGTAATTTAGACCAGTTGGCCTGTTCATGGAACACAGCTGTTCTGGAAACTATATAATTTGTTATTATTATCAATGAATCTGTACCTTTGGTGCCAGTTTCATATCCCAATCTTAGTCTTCTGGATACGTTTTCTCCCTTTCTTCTCAACTGTTTAGGTATGTGTACGTCTGCAGTGACCCCAAATATGTGCATGTGTGCTAATTTTGGTTTCCTATTATACATCACCTCATATGGTGTCTTATTCACAATACTGGACCAGGTTCTATTTTGAGTGTAATTTGAATAATGTAAGGCTTCTGACCAAAATTGTTTGCCTAAACCAGCATCCTCTAATGTGCACCTAATCATGGTTTGTAATGTGGAATTCTTTCTCTCTGCAATCCCGTTCTGGAACGCAGAAAATGGACTAGACGTGTAATGTAGCATTCCTCTATCCTTTAACCATTGGGAGAATTCTTTAGACATGAATTCACATCCCCTATCTGTCATAATTTGTTTTATTCTGATATTATGTTGTGTTTCTATGCGTTTGTAAAATTCCTTAAATTTTTGAAAGGTTTCATCCTTGTGTTTCAATGTATAAACAAAACCATAGCGACTGTAATCGTCTACTATTGTTAGGAAGTAACGTTTTCTATAAGTGATTGATGGAGTTAATGGGCCAACTAAGTCCATGTGTACTAAGTCAAAAATTTTGTTAGTTGATCTGGTGGATTTTTTTGGCCTGGGACTAGTTTTTAGTTTAGTAGATTTACATACTGAGCATTCCAAATAATTTTCACAATTTTTTATTTTGACACCTTCTGCGTGTTCAGTCATTTTTTGTACTACAGGAAAACTTGCATGTCCTAACTTCCTATGTAAGATGTGAGCACACTCATCATGAATTGGTTTACCTATTTTTGGTTTCTTCTCATTGTGTGTATCTGTGTGATCATGAGATATTTTACATTCATCATTGTCACTGTTACTAATATTTTCATCATCTGCCTCAATACAATCTTCCATATTTGAATCAATGTTATGTAACCATCTTTCTTTTGTTATTAGATAGGGTAGGCCTCCTTTAATCATCACAGTGCCTACATTTGTTTTATTCTTCTCTAAAGTTGCTTTTCCCTTTGAGAAAACTATATTGATGTCAGAATCTCTGCTTAGTTTTATGGCACTTAGTATGTTATGAGGTATTTCTGGTATTAACAATACCCCCTCTATTTTTCCTAGACCAGGCAAGGTCACATTCCCTCTGCCTAATACTTGAACTTTTTCTTGATTAGCTACCTTTATTACAAACTTATCTTCTGTAAATGAAGACAGTATATTTTTGTTATTAGTGGTGTGATTAGTTGCCCCAGAATCAATAAGCCAATTATTGTTCTCATTTTGTTGCGTTTTAGTGCTGTCTTGTTTATTTAGTCCATTCAGTGAACCAGATTTTCTCTCTTTTGAATTTTCTCTGCCCCCTCTACTTTCTCTGTAATTTGGTGGGCTTCTATATTTATGTCTATCTGTGGAAGACTGTCTATAATTGTATTTATTCCTATATTCTGACCTATGTCTTTCCTTTGAAATTTTGGGACAATCTCTTCTATTGTGTTCCCTGGACCCACAATTGTGGCATTTAAAAGTTTCATTATATTTTTCTTGGAAAGCTACCTTCCTAAAAGATTTGTGTTCTGTGTGATTGCTATAACGATTTTTTCTTGAATTGTCTTCTGCTATTAATTTGTTAGACAGACTTTCTATTGATAAATATCCTAGATTGATGGTGTCTAAGTGTGACATAAAACTATCCCATGATGAATCAAGTGAGTTGATAATAACACTTTTCATTGTTTGATCTGAAATCACTTCCCCCCTCAAATGCAGCTCAGCTCTTATTTTGTTTAAAGATATTAAATGCTCACTTATGGAAACCCCTGGTTTTACTCTGGAAGAAAAGAAGTCCTTAGACATTCTTGTGGTGGTAGCTACACTATCGCTGTGAAACAAATTAAACATGCATTGAATTATTTCTGAAACAGTTAGATTTGGTTTGATGCTATGATACATTGCAGGAGACACGCTAGATATTATTAAGAAAAATGCCTTATGGTGTAAACAATCTATTTTTAAAGTCCAAGGTCTTCTTGGGGGACTAGTGATAAAAAATAGTAAATTTTCTTTCATAAAGACAACCTGGAGCTGTTGATACCATTCTTGCAAATTAATGCCATCAACCCTAAGTTTTGGGAAGTCACTGGGTAAGTTTCCCACATTATTTTGTCCATTACTTACAACCTGAGGTAGTCCGTGGTCTCGCAAGTGTAGGAAATTGCAAAACGGCATGGGGATGCTCGCAACGAGTCTGCGCGGTTCTCTGGCCAGTTCAAGTCTTTCCGGACCGTCTACGTAGTTTCGCACATGCGCGTTGTTCATTTCTTCTTTGGCGTCGTCGTGGAAGGTTCTCTCCATTGTAGCTCGCTCGCTCCGCTCCTCTTCAGACGAGTCGGTCTCTGGCTCGGTCTTAGGAGTTCTGATGGCGGCGACTGTTCTTCTCTTTCTTTTGGGTGCGTTGGCACTTGCTTCGGTCTGCGGTGTAGGGCGGAATCGACATGGCTCTCTGGGCTCAGGCGTCGTCGCTCTCGAAGTCAGGATGGGAGCGTGCAGGTCTTGAAGTATCGGCTTGTTCGCTTGCTTCTTCGTTGGCGCTTTGGAAATTTTTAATTTTGGCCCAAATGCAGCAAAAAGCGTCTTCATTGCTGACTTTACTTGGGATTTCGTTAAGTCGTCTTCACTTTCTGATTCTGGCTCTTCCGAAGAGTTTGAATCCTCCTTTTCACTTTCGTTGTCTGATAACGTTTTTCGCGCCAGAAATTTTGAACTGAGCATTTTGATTGGCTCTGCTTCGCTCACTTTGGAGGTTTGTTGAAACCAAGATGGCTGCCATTCAAAATTTCGCGTGGGATCACATTTTTTCTTTTTCATAACGACTTTCTCTGTAGTCATATCACTCACAGTTTTTTGGTCTTTGGGTTTCTCTTTAGCGATGTTTTTCTCTCTCGCTGCTCCGCTGTTCTTCAGCATTTCTTGGAGGTTCGCGATGAGGCTTTCATCATTCTTCTGGCTTTTTAATAACTTCAATATCTCTGACCTGAGTTCGTTATTTTCTATTTCGATTTCCTCCTGGCCATCATTTTCATTTATTAATTCTTCTTCTTCAGTGGTGTATTCTCCGGATTCTCTCGAAATCGCGTTTGTGGATTCGTTGATTATTTCTTGTTCAGTTTCTATTTCTTTGCTGTAGGCCCTGGTGTTGGGCCTATCTTTCTTAGACATTTTTAGGTATTTATTGAGTCAATTAACCATCCTCTGCTACCAATTTGTTGCAATATTTTCAGGATCAGACTCAATAATAATAATAAGAGTTAGAGGTTTAAATATATTTCTCTTTAATTATAATAGGCATTCTATATTCACTGAATATTCACAGATAGAAGCAAAGAAAAATGGTGAAGGTGGCTCCTTATATATACAAAGGGTGGAGCCAAGAGTGGGAGTGGTGAATTATGAATACATTAAGAGTCAAAGAATAAGTTAACCCCTGATATCCCATATATACATTATTTACACATTAGGGAATAAGGCATTTACATCTGACATGCCGGTTCTCTGAACTACTCAAAATTTCCACTACTGGTTCTCCAGAACCTGTCAGAACCTGCTGGATTTCACCTCTGTCAGAAATCAATGTTCTTTTTGCTTTTCATGAAAAATTCAATGGAGCCAGTCAGGGGTGGTGGTATTCAGTAGGTTCTGACCAGTTCTGGAGAACAGGTAGCAGAAATTTTGAGTAGTTTGGAGAACTGGTAAATATCAACTCTGACTGCCCCCACTCCCCAATCTATTCTCTGCCTCCTGAGCAGGGGTGAAATTCAAAAATTTTCCCTACCAGTTCTGTGGGCGTGGCTTGGTGGGTGTGGCAGGGAAAGGATACTGCAAAATCCCCATTCCCTCCCCATTCCTGGGGGAAGGATATTGCAAAATCCCCATTCCCACCCCACTCTGGGGCCAGCCAGAGGTGGTATTTGCCAGTTCTCCGAACTACTCAAAATTTTCGCTACCGGTTCTCCGGAACCTGTCAGAACCTGCTGGATTTCACCCCTGGACACAGACCTTCTGAAGCCGCTCCCCCTGCAGGGGCTCCTAGCCCTCTAAGACCTTTGCTATATCACCTCTCATGCCACCTTTATGTTGACTTGAAATTCATCCTCCTGGCCAAGATCACTGTGGTCCAGGTGGTTTCCTGCCATCTCTGCATGGTACAACCAGCTTCCAAAATCTGCCTCAGGCTATCAAGTTGGAGGTCACTTGGCTGGCCTTGCAAGAACAATGCCAGATGCAGAAAGACACACAGCCTTATCCAGTGGGGGGGGCACTTCCTGAAGGTTGGGAAGGGCTTCCATTGCTCAGCATCTCCATTTCGGGGAGCTTGGCATCTGTCTAATCGGAACTTCTGGATTTCTCCTTCTTTAGCTATAATGTGGCTGTTTCCTGTGGTGGTGGTGGTGGTGGTGGCAGCTGCTGTGATCTTCCTGATTCTCTTCCTGAGTTGTAAGTGAAAACACATCCACTAACACTCACCCTGGGTCTTTCTGCAATGACTGAGTTGTTGTGAATGGCAGAGCCCCCCTGAGAGTTTCATCCATGTTCCCCATAAGTGTTCTGTCCCCGTTCCACTCACGCACCCCCACAGACGGCCCGGAGTTAATAAGCCACATGACAAAATTCTTGGAAAATAAAGCTGGCAGCAACCCAGTGGCTAGCTGCCAATTCAGACTTTACTCACACGAAACAAAGATTAGACTGCCAGCATTCTGATAAAACAGGCAGAGTTTTCAACAATACAAGGATTAATCCAAATGCAGTCCGATAAAGCAGGCAAAGTCCAGTAACGCAGAGATCATGGATTATTTCTAGTTTTTGCTCGTCACAAACCGAACCGGCCACCACACCCACATTTATACCCTGTAGGGTGTGGTCCAGTGATTCAGCTAATCTCTGGCACGCCTTCCCCTCTGCTGCGCACGCTTCTCCCTTCGCCTCTGGTGAGGGTCCAGCCAGCACTTATCTCCTTCGTCACTGTCCACCTGTGGCTGTGGGGACGTGCTTGGCTCTGAGCCTATCTTTTGGCCTTCAGTGTCCTCTGGAGGCATTGCCAGAGAGGAGGGTTCTGGAGAGGGAGGCCTTGCCAACTCTTCTTCCTCACTCTCAGAGTCTGCATCTGTCAACAGCCCAGGCTCAGGCAACGGAGCCACAACAATAAGACCCTTCCCCATAAACAGCATTTGGAGGAGGAGTCAGAAAAGAAGAAGCAACTATGCAGTTTTTCCATTTCCTGTAAATCTCAGAATGTTCCCCCTTCCTCATGTCTGAGAGGAAGTCTCTTAAGCCTGAATAGAGAAGCAAATATGAGGAAATCAGAAATCAAAGAAAAGTCTCATAAATGATCTGGGAAGTGCTAGAAAATCCGTAATCCTGCCTCCAAACAAGATCGGGGAAGTTCAGGTGGAAGATGGGGGCAATGGAGGCGAATCAATCACATCCAGGGACAGACGATAACAGGAAGGAAGATGCAGTGCTCCTACTCGGAGCAAGAGACAAGAGAAGGAGTGCAACATAACAAAGAACAGAACAGAACAAAAGAGTTGGAAGGGACCTCAGAGCAGTGGTGAAATCCAATTTTCTTTACTACCGGTTTTGTGGGCGTGGCTTGGTGGGTGTGGCAGGGGAAGGATACTGCAAAATCTCCATTCCCACCCTACTCGGGGGCCAGCCAGAGGTGGTATTTGCTGGTTCTCTGAACTACTCAAAATTTCCGCTGCCGGTTCTGCAGAACCTGCTGGATCTCACCCCTGCCTCAGAGGTCTTCTAGTCCAACCTCAAGCAGGAGATCGTACAGTATACCATTCAGAATAACAGAGTTGGAAGGGACTTTGGAGGTTGTCTAGTGAGTCCAACCCCCTGCTCAGGCAGGACACCCTATATCAGTATTGGCGAACCTTTTCGGTACCGAATGCCAAAATGAGAACGCACATGTGTGCCCGCATGCTTTAAACTGGAAGAGCAGCCACTCAGTACATATGTGCGTGCCGGGAAGAAGATCTTCTGGTTTCTGATGCACATATGCGTGCTGACCACCTAGTCTTCCAGTTTCTGGAGCGCATGCGCACACGAAGACCAGCTGTCCGCTGCACATGTGTGTGCTGGAAACTAGAAGAGTGACAATGAAGCGCCCCCCAAGCCCACCACTGAGAATAAGCCAGAGTAGCCCCCCCTTCCCGCCACTTCTGCCAAGGGAGCACGACTGCTTCCCGCCCGGCGCACCTCTTACCCTGGTGCCGGACAGACATTCTTCCCACACGGACTCAGCTCCTGTGCAGCACCACCACCCCAATGAAAGCCGCAGGGCAAGGGGCAAAAGCGACTTCCCAGCCAACACAGCCGCTCCCCTGCCGACGAGTTGGGCCCTCGGCATCTCCATGCGAGAGGAGGTGCGCTCTCCTTCGGCCCTCCTGGGCCAGCTCGCCTCCCCAACGGCAGCTCCTCCTCCTCCTCCTCCTCCTGGCTGCTCCAGCATCTTGGCTGGAAGTGGCAGCGCAAAAACTGCCCACTGCCCCCTCACCCCCACTAATGACAATGACTGCAAGTCATTCTAAAGGAAGGGGGCTCATTAAAACTTTTTCTTTTATCAATGATTATGTGGGGCTTTTTCCCAGGGAAAGAAAGATGTTAAAATTAACCTTTTGTTCTCCGGTAATTTCAACCCAGAGATTGGGAACTTCTAGCTTTTACCTTTGAATGATTATAATTATTATAATGATTTTCAGCATCCTTTTGGATTTTGAATGCGCAACAGAATATTGTGGAAGAAGGGAGTTTTTTCACAGCAGCTGGAACTAAAATGAATATGCCCCAAACATACTTATTTTGTTGGAATTCTTTCCTCCCTAAACAGATGGCTATCGTAGACTGTAAAACCTCTCAAAAGGTAAAGATCCTGTTTTCAGAAGAAACCGAAGAACGGGTCAAGCAGGAACAGGTCAAGAGTGGGTCAAGCAGTAACATGGACCGCTCTCGTGGATTTAGAAGAAGCCTCCTTCAAGCGGTTTGTGTTGGTTTCCATACATGGATCCCCCACTGGAACCTCATTTTGATACCCAAAACCTGGATATCTGCAGAGCATTTAAGCTAAAAATGACGGGTGGATTCATTTTGATGGATCCACCATTTGTCTTAAAATTGAGCCCGTTGCCTGGCGAGGTATGTCAAGTACACTTTAGGTCAAATAATAGCCCAGGGCTGCTTTTTAATCTTTTCAAGGCAATTTGCTTTGCCCACAACTTGGGTGAGGAGCAAAAGGAAGCGTGTGTGTATGTGGGACCTCATATTTTATTCCAGGATAGGCAATCCAATAGCCAAACATTGCAAAATCCTTTACATCAAGGACCTGTATACAGGTCAGAAAGAGGGCTGAGAAAATACGGTATCTACCCACCTCTCACATCTTGGTCGTGAACTTTCTCCTCCTCCCCTCAGGACGCTGCTATAGGGCATTGCACACCAAGACAAGCAGGCAGAGAGACGGTTTCTGCCTTTGTGCCATCACTCTGCTGAACCCCCGATTCCCACAGTGCTGTCTTACGCCTAAGGATTATTTACCCACGTAGTAAGACTGTATTACTAATATCCTTTTCATCTTTCCTACTACCTCCTCCTATTGGTATCAGTATTATGATTACATATATAATGTGAAGGATGTGCGTTTGTGTTTTATTTTTATAGTTATAATGTACTTTGAAGATGGCATTTAATTTGGTTGTACGAGGTGCAATGACAATAAAAGAAAACTAAACTAAACTAAACTAAACTAAACTAAACTAAACTAAACTAAACTAAACTACTTTATTATTGGTATGTACAAATCAGAATCAGAAAGAAAGAAAGAAAGAAAGAAAGAAAGAAAGAAAGAAAGAAAGAAAGAAAGAAAGAAAGAAAGAAAGAGAGAGAGAGAAAGAGAGAGAGAGAGAGAAAGAAAGAAAGAAAGAAAGAAAGAAAGAAAGAAAGAAAGAAAGAAAGAAAGAAAGGGAAAAAGAAAGGGAGGAAAGAGAGAAAGAAAGGGAAAGGGAAAGAAAGAAAAGAAAGGGAAAGAAAAAGAAAGAAAGAAAAAGAAAGAAAGAAAAAGAAAGAAAGATGGAAGAAAGAGAAAAAGAAAAAGAAAGGGAGAGAGGGAAAAAGGAGAGGAAGCAAGGACCACAAACCTGGCACTAGATGCAGCTTCAGAGGATACTTTGAAAGAACACTGCAATCCAGGGCTGGAAGGGACCTCTCCATTCATCTAGTCCAACCCCCTGCTCCAGCAAGACATTGTCCAAGTGAGTTTCTGTCTTTTGACCTTCCAGTCACATGACTACATAGCCACGCCCACCCAATCACATGACACCCCCCCCACCAAGCCACGCCCACAGAACCAATAGGGGAAAAAAATAGATTTCACCACTGCCCCTAGTCCTCCTTTTCTCTAATTAGTCAAACCCAAATACTGCAACCATTCTTCATATGTTTTAGTCTCCAGGCTTTTAATCATTTAATAACGAGAGCTGTTGTACCGGAGACAAATTCCTTGTTTGTCCAATCACACTTGGCCAATAAAATACTCTGTTTTTTTTATTATTATTTAAATGAGGAGACATTTATTTGATTTTATTTGTCCCTCAACGTGGCACCAAATTAAAAGGAAAAAAAAAATAGGGCAATGTCTGGTAGAGCCTCAAGGGACTGATATGGTCTATCTGAATTTTTTTTCCCAACTTCTTTTGATTGCACAAGTAGTCCAAGCAACGAAAAAGCCCTATGCCAATGCATAGATGTGTTTTTTTATTCCCAACTTTATAAATTTTGATTTTGGGAAGAATAAATGTACTATTTTTTTATTTTTCTAGTTAATTTGTGTAATGTTTTTATTTAAACAGGAAAACGAGGCAGAGCACTATCTCTACTTTTGTTAAAGTATAGGTAGTCCTTGACTTTAGACCAAAAATTGAAAGAATCAAATGAGATTTGAAGCGAGACAGATCGGAGATACGTTCAACAAGTTAAATACAATGATAGATTGTTAACAGAAGGCTTTGAAGTTTAACTTGGCTGTTTACCTGTTAATACTATATGTGTGTGTTTACAGAGAGAGAGAGAGTATATATGGGGAAACGATCATTGTTGCAATATATTTAGCACGATTCAACTAGGTGGGACAATATATGAATCTGTGTTTTTGTTGTTTCTAATGTCCTTTTTTTCTCTTTTAATGCTTTGGTTTTCATTTTGTAAGATTTCTTTTGAAGTTTCTATTGTAACTTTCTGAATAAAATGAAATTTGTTGGAAAAAAAAAAAAGAATGTCTGTCCCAGTGGTGAAATCTGAACTGGTTTACTACGGGTTCGTTGGCTGCGTATGTGCACCGCATACATGCGTGCGCAGTGCGCACCATGCACCAAATGCAAGGTGCGCATATGTACGCCATGCATGCCAAAAGGAGGCATGGGGTAAGTAGACTATCGCACTGGGGGGGGGGGTGATCAGCTGTGGCACGTGATCTTTTTTCTACAACCAACCCTCACCGTATTGGCCTTCCGGAAAGCGGTGAAGACCTGGCTTTTCCGGCAGGCCTGGGGCCGTTGATCTCACTGTTGCAATCTTGCGAGATCCGCAAGATTGGCCATGAATGGCATGCATGGGCTTTTAATGTTTTAAAATGTTTTTATAATGTTTTTTAATAATTTTCTATGTTCGTTGTTCGCATTATTTTTGCTGTAAGCCGCCCAGAGTCGGGCGGCATAGAAATGCGATAAATTAAATTACATTAAATTAAATTCATCGACGTAAGCAGGGAAAGAAAAGGCAGCCAGAGCCCATTGGAGGGTTAGTCCTGTGTACCATTTTGGCTCCGGCTCTCTTTCAAAGTGTGGGTGAAGGTCAGGGGTGGGTTCTAAATGTTTTTACTACGGGTTCCGTGGGCGTGGCTTATTTTGTGGGTGTGGCTTGGAGGTCATGTGACTAGGTGGGTGTGGCTAGCTGGTCAGTCATTTCTGGAAGGTCCTCGCACTTGCGACCAGTCCTCGCACTTACGACCCGACTCATTTGTTTGCTTTTAACACTGATCAGCTGTAGGGCGGCCCTTTGAAGCCCCGCGGCAAGAGTTTAAACAGTTTTTTTCCCTCTAGTCATCAGCTGGGACTCAGGAGGCAGCAATAGATTGGGGGTGGGACCAAATAAAAGGTAAGAATAATGTGGGGGGGTGGGAGAACTGGTTCGGTGACATCATATCGTCACTACTGGCTCGGCCAAACCGGACCGAACCGGGAGGAACCCACCACTGGTGAAGGTTCATTCTCTGAGCTTGTGGGTTGGTTTCTGGACATTTCATTACCAGGCTAAGTAAGATCTTCAGTGGAGTTTAAGGGAACTCTAAGTTCCAAGCAACACCTGGAATTGCACTCAGGATCCCAGGAGTTACATGCCAGTCCATGTACAAGATGCTGCCTTTTGTACCAGCTGCAGTATCTCTCTAATTTTTTGGGAGAACCCAATGGGAGAGCGGATGGCAGTCATTTAACCTGGAGAAGGGGGGAATCACAAGGGTACGGAGCATGGAGCTGGGCTTCTCCCTCAAAAAGGGAGGACACCTGGTGTAGTAAAAGGATCCCTGGCCAGGATTTCAACCAGTCCGCCAGGAGGATTTCTCAAGGTTTGGGTGGCACTGGCATGTGGGAGGGGGCAGATTTCAATGGAGAAAAGAGTGTGACCTCCTTCCCCAATTAATCCGTGGCCCCTTCCTGGAAATTTTCAACACAGGATCTCCTTGCCTTGTGGAATAGGGTGAGGGAGCAGATAGTCCTCCACCTTCTCCTGATCAGAACTGCATGTAAAGGACCAAGCTGGGCCTTGATTCAGAGCCAGCCAGGCTCTTTCTAAGTTCCAAGCAACACCTGGAATTGCATTCAGGACCCCATTAGAGCCCATGCAAACCCTTCCCTTGCCTGCGCCAAGATAGGAGTTGCGTTGCTGCCCCGTCTCATGCCAGTCCATGTACAAGATGCTGCCTTTTGTACCAGCTGTAGCCCAATGATGGCTAACCTTTTTGCCATCGTGTGCCAAAAGCACGGGTCACGTGGGGGATCGCACACGTGCGTGCCCACAAATGCATGTGCAACCCCTCCATGCTCCCCCCACTTTTGGCACGTGATGGCACGGTGGGCCTGATAGGCCCATTTTTGTCCTCCCCAGGCTCCAGAACCTTTCTTGGAGCCTGGGGAGGGTGAAAACAGCCTTCCCCACCCCCCAGAGGCCCTTCGGAGGCTGGAAACGGTCCGTTTCCTGACTTCCGGTGGGCCTGGAAGGCCCAAAAATCAGCTGGCCGGTGCACATACGCGTGCTGGAGCTGAACTAGGGCAACACTTGCGTGCCCACAGATATGGCTCCGCTGCCACCTGTGGCACGCGTGCCATAGGTTCACCATCACGGTTCTAGCCCAATAAAAGATTTGTAAGAATCGGTGAGAATTCTTATACACTAAGAAAACCCATTAAGACATAAACTTTCACTGCCCAGACATGGGTGGATTAATTAACTGGTTCTTTAGTTGATTCTTCAGCAGACAAAATTGAGAATCTATGGATGCAAGTTAAGATTTAATTTTAACCCTGTTGCTTCCCTCTGTATGGGGGGGGGAGGGGAAATGAGGATAAACTGGCGTATGCCTCCAATCAATTGCATCCTTCCTGCATTAAGATCTAAATCCTTCATAAATCCTTTTCCTTCCGCCCCTTTTCCTCCAGGAATTGCCACATAACTATCTCAAACTACCAGAGCAATCCACACACCTTTTATGCTGTTAATAGGGGACCAATTAGTTGGCCAATTAGGAAGACAAAAGGAGGGAAAATATAACAAAAGATAAACCAAGAAAGGAATCTGTCTGTTGCAGGAAGATGTAAAATCTAAGTTAGAGTATATTACTTGAGTTTTACAATGTAGTTAGATTATATGACAAGAGTAATTAGAATACGAAGAAGGAAGACTGTAGTGGGTATAAGAAAGGACGCAGAATCATCTCATGCTTTGCAGAACTTGCACAAGGTGGGGTTGGCCAGTCTGGGGCTGGAGGTCCCTGTTGTCCCTCAAAACCAGTTGAGGGCTATTATTTGCTTTGATCTTGGCTTTTGGATAATGTGTCCAAGTTGTCCACGCTGGAGGTTCCTTTCCTTCTTCCCTACGCAATGACGACACAGTGATTTCTAGATCTCTCCCTGTCTTCTACAGTCCATAGGATGCCTTGTGCTTCAAAGAAAAAAAATGGAGGAAGTCAACACTGTCATTTGTATGGGGTGGGGGCTGTTTCTTCTCTCCTCCCCTCAGCTCTCTCTTCCCCCCACTGCAACCTCCACAGGCACCAGAGGAAGCAGCCAAAGAAGAAGGAGGGATAACCCTCTCTGGACAAAGAGCTGCTGTTGGGGGCCTCCTCACTTCTCCCCCAAGCTTTCTTATGCCTCCATCTTATCATGGCCAAGGAGTCCCCTTCATGCTCTTCCTTCTCCCCCTCCCCTCCAATCCTTCCCATTTCTCCAGGGTGCCCCAACTCCTGCTCATCGCTCCTTCCCCATCTCTCTCTCCTCCCTTGGAGTTGATGGGCCAGAGAGGCTGAGCTGAGCCAGATCTTCCGCTGCAGAGCAAGTCATCCCAGGAGCCCCAGGAAGCCCATAATCCACACACGACAACTTTGGAAAAATTTAATTCCCCACCTCAACAACCCTGACGGTCTTGGTTCTCAGGTATATTCCAAGTTGGAGTTTTGTTTCTTCAAATTAAGACTCACCTCCGATGTTATTTTAGGTTAGGTCAACCTCTGTTATTTCTTCTTATCTTCTGTACCGTCCATAGAGTTAGAATAAATGATTATTGGAAACTTACGATAGAATTCTCTTCTGAGTCTCCTCTGCCGGCCTGACAGATGGGAAAAAGAGCAGATAGCTAGTTTATTTCAGAGGGCAGCAGCTCCTATCTGAGCTGGAGAAGGATTTATTCTGAACACTAAAGGAAGGAACCTGAACTGAATCACCATCAACTACTCTACAACAATGATGCTAAACCTCTTGGATTCTTGTTGCTGGTACAAGACAGAGGGTGTTTCCCACAGACATTCTTAATTCAACTGTCACGACATTTGTGACCCAATCTTAACCTAGCCAGATCTAAGAACCAGCAATTGGCTGATCGTGGAAGGCTAAACTGGGTCTGCCTGGATTAGAGAATAGAGAATGGAATAGAATAGAATAGAAAATAGAATAGAATGTGGAATGGGGATAGGGGATAGGAAAATGGAATGGAATGGAATGGAATAGGCCTTGGAGCAGTGATGAAATTCAATTTTTTTTACTACCAGTTCCATGGGAGTGGCGTCGTTTGGTGAGCATGGCAGGGGAAGGATACTGCAAAATCTCCATTCCCATTCTACTCCTAGGGGAAAGATATTGCAAAATCTCCATTTTCTCCCCATCTGGGACCAGCCAGAGGTGGTATTTTCTGGTTTTCTAAACTACTCAAAATTTCTGCTACCGGTTTTCCAGAACCTGTCAGAACCTGCTGGAATTCACCTCTGCCTTGGAGGTCTTCTAGTCCAACCCCCTGCTTAGGTAGGAAACCCTATACCATTTCAGACAAATCAGAGAATCACAAGCCAATCAGAAGGTCCATCCAGGAAGAAGGAAATGGCAAAGTACTTCCAAATTCTTGCTGAGAAAATTACATAGAAGTCCTGAGATAGACTCGGTGAAATTCAATTGAGGAGACATGTCCTCCCGCCTCCCTCCTTCTCATATCCAGGTGTGATTGCAAGGAGAGGCATGGCCCATGGGCCCCTCCCTCCATGGACCTCCCCTTCCATCAGAGCTTCCTTTGTGTTGTGGTCCGTTACCTGAGCCTGTGTCATCGGCAGGAGAGGACTCCGAGAGTGAGGGAGAGGAGTTGGCAAGGCCTCCCTCTCCAGGACCCTCCTCTCTGGCAATGCCTTCGGTGTCCGCCGAAGAGCAAGAGATAGGGCCGGGGCCAAGCACGTCCACGCAGCCACAGATGGACAGTGAGGAGGGCAATGAGTCTTGGCTGGATCCACGCCAGCGTCGCAGAGATAAGCGCGCGCAACAGAAGAAAAGGCGTGCCCGAGATTAGGCTGAGTCACTGGACCACACCCCACAGGATATAAAAGGGAGCATGGTGGCCAGTCAAACCTTGTGACGAACAAAGCTGAATGCTTCCACGCCATTCTGCATTGCCGGACTTTTGCTTTAAGACTTTACTGGACTATCTCTGGACTTGATTGTAATGATTGAGCTGCTTTCCTTTGATGTATCAGAAGTGGGAAGAAGTTATCTCTCCTCTTTGTAAATAATAAACTCTTGGCAGGCAGCCACTAGGTTGTTGCCAAGTTCCGTTATCTTAAGGAAAAGGATTTTGCCAGCTGGTTTGGTCTTTAACTCCTGAACGTCTGTTGGGGGGTGTGTGCGTGGGGTTGGGGACAGAACACTTTGGCCAGGTGACATGGCAAATAGATCTTCTTCAGGAACAGGATTGTGGAATTCCTCGCACTTCCCAGATCATTTAAGGGACTTTTCCTGGACTCCAGAGCAGTGGTGGGTTGCCCCTGGTTCGGACCGGTTCTATAGAACCGGTAGTAAAACCGGTGGGAGGTTCTGCCCCCTGACCCTGATGTCATCAGAAGCTATCTGCGCATGCTCAGAAGCAAGGCACGTCAATGAGCGAAGCAAGGCGCGTGCGTGATCCCTTTGTGAACTGGTAGTAAAGGTAAGTAGAACCCACCCCTGCTCCAGAGGTGCTGATATTTGCTCCTCTGAAGAAAGTCTGCATAAGGCCAGAGAGGTTTTCTCCCACACAACAGGAAGACATTGAGATTTGCAGGAAGTGCAACAATGGCCCCATAGCATCTTCTCCCTTTCTCACCTAAATGCTGTCTGTGGGCAATGATAACATGGGCGAAATTCTTTGGCTATGCAATAGAATTAGAGAACTATGGGAAAGGAATTATAAATTGACTATGGCAACTGCATATAAAGAAAATTTATATAAAATGTTTTATAGATGGCATATGCCACCAGAAAGACTAGCAAAAATGTTTAAAGATAAATCAGCTAAATGCTGAAAATGTTTGAAAAGGGGAATGGAGGGTGGGGGGAGAAAGAAGATTATAAATATAAATGTACAATTATGAAATGATGGATTGGGTAAAATGGGAACGAAACTGAAAAGAAAGTATACATTATTAGAAAATTGGAGTTGCTCGGAGACCAAATAAAGGAAATAGTGCACAACAAAGGAGAAAGAGAGGGAGAGAGAGGAATGGAAGAAAGGGGAAGGAGAGGAAGAAAGGATCGTGGACAAGAGCAGGAGAGAAGGTGAGAAAGGGGGAAAAGAGGGGAGGAGTGGGGGAGAGGAAGGGCAAGTAGGGGAGGAGAGGAGAGGAGGAGGAAGAAAGTAGAAGAAGAGAGGAGGGAGGGAGGGGAAAGAAAGAAGAAGGAGAAGAAGGTTTGTGGTGAAAAGAGGGAAAAGAGATGTAATAAAATGTAATAAATAATAAATGTAAATGTAATAAATGTAATTAAAATGTCTTATTTTTATGCTTTCATTAGAAAAATATGTATATATATGATCAACTATGGCTAAGAGAATGTATATTTACAATTTGTGCATAAGAAATAAAAAACTTTTTTCAAAAAAAACAATGCTGCCTGTAGGGAAGGAGCTCGTAGGGATTCTGGCTGCAACTCTCAGAGAAGCTCTGCCCCACCCACAAGCAGCTCAGTCAACACAGAAGGACATGGGGTTGGGTCAGTGGATGACTTTGTTTCACTTACATTCCAGGAAGAGACTCAAAAGGCCCAAGATCACAATTCCCACAGTGGCCACAATTCCGAAAACAATCCACCTTACGCCTCCTAAAAAAAGGAGAAACACGGTTTCTATTAGACAGGTGCTGAGTTCCCTGAAGTGGAGATGCTGATCAAGGGAAGCCTTTCCCAACCTGCTCTGGCCTCCAGGAAGTGCCCCCACCTGGAGGAAGCCCCTCCCCTCCACAGGTGCAGAGGGCCCAGGGGCTTCAGCCCAGGCAAAGATCAGGTGAAGCAAATGCATCAGACTGATCCCCCCCACAGTTCACCTGAACATAAATGGAGGGAGAAGGAAGCAGGTGCGGATTGCAATCGTTCGAATATTATAGTTTTGCAAAAAAGAATAGCTCTGACGTAGCTGACAAAAGCCCAGCCTCCCCTGCTGAAAGGGGCACTGAAGGACCGGAGGCAACTTGTCCCATCAGATAATTCTGCCAGAAAGCAAAACAGAGTTTCCTATCTCTCAATCTCTTCCATCTCCGTATCGTATCATATTTTCCTACCTTTGTTCTCAAGTGTCCACTTCCAACTCCCCTCTCAATCATCTCTTCTTTACCATCACGAAACACAACCCTAAATTCTCTCCTTTCCCTCTGGAAAGTTTAGAAAACCATCCAACACTGATGAACAGCCTAGTTCTACATTTTTTAGATTTACTTTATTTATTTAATAAACATATATGCTGCCCATCTCACCAAGACCTAACGTGTGTCACAGCTGCTCAATCTCTCACCCGTTTCCTCCTTCCAAGCCAACACCAAGGACTCCTAAATTCCCTCCTTTCCCTCTGGAAAGTTTAGATGACAGCATCCAACACTGATGAACAACCTACTGCTACATTGATGTTTATTTACTTTATTCATTTAATAAATTTATATGCCACCCGTCTGACTGAGAGGTGACATTTTGTAACTTCTCAGTCTCTCACCTGTTTCCTTTTTGAAAGACAAGACCAGGGGCTCCTGCAAGCTTTCGTGCTCCAGATGACACCGAAAACAATCCCTCTCCTTGGGGTCGATCTCAATGCTGAGCTGGACATAATAGGTCCCGTCCGAGTTGGGGGCCACGTTCCTATGGAGGGTCCCATATTTGCAGGCCTCTCCATCCCTGGTCCAGATGGTCTGGATCTCCTTGGGGTAGAAGCCAAAGGCCTGGCAGATGAGGACCTCCAGACTGTCATCCACCACTTTGTGGGTCACCTTCCCAACTGGGGGCTCTGTAGAAACAGCAAAATCCGAGTTCCCAGGATTTAATAGTAGGGAAGTCCTCATTTGGCCATCCTCTCCCACTGCTCCCTCTCCTCTCCTGAATCTCTGGGACCCTCAAAGATGAAGGCATTGAACTCTTTAGCTTTATTTTTGAAAGGGGCACATACCAAAATAATTGTCCTGCTTGGGGGCTGATTTGGTTTTCATATCCCACATTGAATTTGTTCAAATTCTTCCAGATAGAAATTAAATTTTGGTTCAGCCCCAAACACAGGATGTGAGAATTAAGACTTTCTTCTGTTTTGCCAGATTTCCTCATGCAAATGGATCTCAGCCTCCATCTCTTGCTTAATTAGTTTGTTTTTTCTCTTTGAAAAACTTATTTTAGGGGGCATGGAAGGTGATTTCCCCTGCTGTCCTCCTGTAGTTTGATTTGGTAAATCTCTTCCTGTCAGGCGTGTGAAGCCTGACTGAGATTCGCCCAGCAAAATTCAAGAACGGCAACACCAAACTCAAAGTTTTCTCCAAAGGAGCTACAGGAAAAGGAATTCAGTAAGAGGAGTCTACATTTCTGGATCTACTCTAGCTGCTGAACTTTCTGCTTTTAACCCGTTCAGCTTCTTGGAAAGTTTGACCAACCTGATTGTAAAATGATCTCCCAACCAACCCTGCTTCCTTCTGCAGAATTCATTTTACAGCCCAGATTTAAAGCAACAGGGAACAAAAAATGTATTTGCAATCACGATTCCATTTTGGAACAAGGTCTCTTTAGTTAGCCTTTGTTATAACTGTAAACCCAAAAAAGTCTTCAGAACTGGTCCTAAACTGGTTTTGAGAACGTCTGTTAAACTGGGTCCAGGTGCAAAGGACTTTCCAGCAGTATGCATGACAATAAATACAGGTAGACCTCGACTTACAACAGCTCATTTAGTGTAAGGTGACCAGATTTTAACATTGGTAAAGAGGGACATTGTGGGCGTGGCTTATTTTGTGGCCGTGGCTAGCTGGTCATGTGACTGGGTGGGCGTGGCTAGCTGGTCATGTGACTGGGTGGCCATGGCTATGTGTATAGAGTAAGGTGAACAGATTTTAACATTGGTAAGAAGGACACCATTGTGGGCGTGGCTTATTGTGTGGGCATGGCTTGGAGGCCATGTGACTGGGGGCGTGGCTAGCTGGTCATGTGACCGGGTTGTTGTGGATTTAATAAGACAAACACAACTTTTGGGTTAATCAGAGACAGATTTTATATATATTGCGCAATAGGTTCAAGGCTCTGTACATGAAGCGTTGAACAAAGACAGGAATTAGGTACAATGGTTTTATACCCTTCTAGACAAAGGATTCTTTGAAGTCAGCCGTTCATATGGTCCTATACATTTATCAATTTTAGTTGACATTACAGTCATAATTCTTTTTGTAGATTACTGAAGCATATCTTTTATCTTTTGACGATGGACAACTTTTAACTCATGTGGATCCCCTTGACCTAACCAACCTTTAAGCTGTATGTCATTAGAATGTTCCTTTCTTCTGACAACTTAGAGGCCTCCTAGAGGAACCAAAAGGACCTTGGCTGAGTTTGTACTCTTTCCAGCCGGATGCATTGCTTTTTAGAATAGAGTGAATAGAAAGTTATCCAGTGGTCATCCATCAGAGCCCGCTTCATTACATTATTCCCCCCTCTGAAAGTTTTTCAATGCAGAAACTTTCACTATTCTCATATAAGTTTAACTTCTGAGTATACAAGATTCCAATAAACAAATCTACCATATATAGGGTCTAACAAAAGATAATTAATAAAAGTAAAGGATAGGTAGTTCTTGATTGTTTTTCTACTCTCTTGATTCTTGGGGAGATTCTCTACCTTTTTCTACAGGTTCCATTTCCTCATATGGGTCTGCCTCAGAATGTTTATGTTCTTCCACAGGATATGGACCAAGTTGATTAAGAAAACGTTCTATCAAAGCTAGTTCCTTTTCAACTTGAATCTCCTTTACTGTTCTTATTTATAGATGTTTCAGCATAGGGATTGCACAAGGAATAAAAACTAGGCCTGCCACAGCCATATTAATTCACCCGGATCCAGGCAACCAAGAAAACCACATGTCAGTTGTTTATAACCTCTGACCTATCTTGGAAGCCCTATCCTGCAATTCCTTGGCAATATCTCTGACCACACCTGATTTGTTACATGTTTCTGTCCAGTTTGTTGGTAAACACAAATATGCATCCTTTCCACATAAGAAGATTTATGGAAAAGGCATGCACTCAGTAGTTCCTTGCATTAGTCCAGATCCCTAAGTCCCTGCCACAAACATTCCTGCCAGTGGTTGCAATGGGACTTCCAGTGAGGGGTCCTTCTGTTTATCTCTGAGAATTGGTCCTTCAAAAAACATATCGAGAGGTAGTATTTCCAGATGGAAAAAGGATACACAAATCTAATTTGGACTTCAAGTTGAACCAGAGTGGAAATTCGGAAGGTTGAAATGGTCTTGGACAGATTCCATCCACCCCACTTTCCCTTCTTAAAGTTTATTTCTGGTAGCCTTTGTTCTATCCCAGAGTTGTGGTTTGACAGGAACAGCATGATAAGATGTAGGGCTAACATAAGCAGCATTTCTGACCTAGGGTAGGGTCATACTGTTTAACAAGATCTTGACTTAATTCCAAAATCCGTGATATATAGTCTCCTCTATGCAATTGTTGTAGAGGCCCATTTTCCTTATCTATTCCCCCCTCAGCTGGGAATGTCAATAGTGCAACCTTAGGTGGTGGAGTTGACTTAGGTCTAAGGTAACGACCTCGTGCATATACAATGCGTTCTTGGCGTGAGTGAACTTGACCTAAAGTGTCTCCACTTGGGGAATCAATGTTCATCTTATGTTCACTTGAGAGTCCTAGTGCGAATAATGTCCAAAGCCATAAACAAATCATAATCAACTATGGTGTGAAGCTCACTACGTCAGGGAAAGGGTTAGTGGTGCATGTGGTTTGGGAAACAGGAGTAGCAATAAAAATCCTAGGTCTACCACAAAACCGTTCCTTATATATGTAAAACAAAATTACTAGCAAGATTAGAAAAACAAATACCCACAAAACGTACTCCCAAACTTCTAATAACATTAGCATGTGTAAGAAAGTGTTATATTAAAGCTAATAATATGTATATGTACAATGTGAAGGCAGTTGTCCTCTTTACAAATCTTCCGCCGTGCGTAGAGAATCAGCTTCCGGAGTGATTCAGCAAGGCTGATGGTCACCTGGTATCAGTCTCATCCAGTGGATCCAGGATTGTCCTCCTAAGATCTTAAAAACACAATTACAAAACCAATACATCTGGGCGAGTGCGCAAAGGAATCTGAGCAGTTGTAGTCCTTTTCAGTTGGGAAACAGCATAGGCAACCACTGAATCCTAAGAAAGAAAAAATACAAAAATAGTCCAGATGATGAAGAACGCTATTCCCACTGGTGGCTGGATCCTTTGGATCATCAACTTCACTGGATTTCCTTGATGAGATTGAGCCCGTTCACTTGGGGTCTAACTTCCGTCCAGTTTGGATTAACATCCAATCATCGTGGTGGAATTTGTGGACTGGAAACTTCAAAGGTGATGTTAGGGCTAATAGTCCTTGTTTCCTAAAAACTTTAAAATATCTGGACAGGTTATACACATATTGTTTCAATACTTTGTCTCTGGTTTCCAAGGAAGTAATGCATATGCTTCCTGTAGTGAAAACTACTCCAAACAACAGTTCATATGATGATAATCTGTCTAGGTTGGGTAAAACTCTTGACACCACTGTTGCTGTAGCATTACTGCAGATAAAAGCTGCAACCCACATTTGTTTATAATTGATGTTACTAAAGGATATATCCCAATACAATCATAGCTTAGTTTAAAAGTTCATGTACAATAGCTTGAAGTCCCCAATGACTCCACCCATATTTTGCCAAATGATGTCCAGAGACTAAGGGTTACAATGCATTAAGCAATAGCCATCATAAAGTCAGCTTATTGCCCCCCACAAACTGGGTCCTCAATTCACCTACCTTAGAAAGGATGGAAGGCTGAGTCAACCTTGAGCCTTGGCGAGATTCAAATTTACAGTAATTGCAGACAGCTGGTGTTAAATTAGAATGCATTTATCCACTGAGCTATCCAGGCTCCCTGTCCATAGAGCTTAATTTAATGAATACAATTCAAAGGTTTGAGCAGACCAATTTCGAGGCAATTTGTCTCCAGGGGGTGTCCCTCCAAATCTGGTTTTATTTTTGTATGGAGACCAATTATTTCAACACCATAATGTTCTCATCCAAGGTGATCCATTGATCTGGTGTTGGTTAAGAACTGTGCTTGATTCAAATTGAGATCTGCAGGTTAAAATCACCACTGAAGGATAGTTCTGACTTGATGTGGGGTGTTTACAATGAGGGCTCCCTCCAAAGGTCAATTGCCTACTTTCTGAGCCAACACCCCTCGTGCAATTCAATTTGTGTGTGTGTGTGTGTGTGGTGTGTGTGTGTGTGTCCACAAAGAGACCGAATGGCTTTTCCAAATTTGGCAAACCCAATACAGGAGCCCCGGTTAAAGCCTGTTTCAAATTTTCAAGGCTTCCTCTTTCATGTCCCTCCCAGTTCAAACTCCAAGATCCAGATTCAATTAATTTTGCATAGAATTGTCTTAATTCTTGCTTGTTTATAGATGGAGGCGGAGATGCCACCCCTCCTTTCTATCAGGAGTGATTGTTGTTTACTACTCCTGTTGGGGGAAAAAAAGTCTTTCCCTTTAAAGATTGCTGAAAGGCAGAGCTTTCCCTTCCTGAATTCAAAACTCCTGGAATCAGTTTTTCCTTTTGTTGTGGAAATTAAGGCGGCGTCTGTTTCTTAATGCCCATTGGTAAAGGTGGGGGCTGAACTCTGCCTGAGTTTCTGCCTATTTTCTTTAGGGTAATTTTCTTGTGCTTTTAATATTGAGCTTCTCAAATCTTCCAACACTCCCTTCACTGATTAAGTGTATTCAAATGCTTTGTTCACTTAATCTGATCTCTGTCAACGAAAAA